GGCACCCCGAAAAACAGCCATATGACTGTCACAGTCCCACGCCTCGTTGTCGACCAGATCATCCCATCCGAGGGAGATGTAATCGAGTTAAGTTCCAGCAGGAGAGAACATTCCAGCCGCAATGTCGTATCAGATTGCTCCGCACTTAAGTTTAAGTGTCAGAACGTAAGAGTCAACTCTCATGACGCATCTAAGAAGGCTGGGCTCTGCTCGAGCCTCAATGTCCGCAGTCGAAGCAGCTCTAATCAAAGCATTAGACGATTCCGCTCTGATAGGTCGAGAAACGTATACAGCGGTCGCAGCTCCCCAGGCTGTCTCCATCCTGTGTCAAATCGCGGTCCATGGCGGAATCGCCGGGTAAAGCTGTTGCTGCTGCTGGTCCCGGTGCTTGTATCCCTCCTCGTACCCATCGTCGAAAGCGCATCGGCTCCTGGGTCCTTTTCTGAGTCATCTCAAAATCCCGAGCCTTCTCTAAACGGCCGGACCTCATGGCCCCGCTCTCTCGCGGGAGGAGCGCCGGCAGCGGAAATTTGCGCGGGTGCGTGCGGGAACCGCGAGTGGGAGGCGCTGAGTCCCTCCGCGACCAAGGGGAACTGCTCGTGCGTGCGGCCGTTGGAGCTGAAAATTGAGTTTTCTAACGCGTCGGACATCGAGAAGAATTTTCGGCCGTTTATCCAGGTAACGAGGAGGCCTCTGTCGGGGACAGTCGGGTAATTCTAGAAGTGCCTATAAATTAATTATGTGAAGCGGAGTCTCGTCCGTTTGAGAGGAAGAGGAGAACCTGGTACTCTTATCACCTCCTCCCCCTGATTACACACAAGGGTTGTGTTGGTCTCATTTCTCCGCCTCATTAATAGACTCTCGCCCGTTATCCCCACAGGTGCTTGCGCGGGAGCTATCCTTGCAGGAGGATCAGATCCAGCGAAGTGCGTTGCAGCGAACCGACGGAAGCAGCGCGGCGGTAACCCTATTGTTACTGCCGAGCCACGACGTCACGTTTTCGCCAAAGTTCGTGAACAGCACTCGCCAGCGGCTGTCGCGACGACAAGTAACGCTCGACCCCAATGTGTTCAGTAATTACACGTTGATCAGCCTGGTGCAACTAGCGCCGCCGCCGCCACCCCCTCACAGTAAGCTCCCGTTTCCCCTCGCGCTCATCCCCCTCATTCCCCGCTTTCCCCTCGTGCCCCCTCCTTCCCATGCCTCCTTCCCCCTCGTGTTCCTCTTCCCCCGCATGCCCCTTTTCAGGCATTCCCCTTTTCCCGCATGCCCCTTTTCAGGCATTCCCCTTTTCCCGCATGCCCCTTTTCAGGCATTCCCCTTTTCCCGCATGCCCCTTTTCAGGCATTCCCCTTTTCCCGCATGCCCCTTTTCAGGCATTCCCCTTTTCCCGCATTCCCCTTTTCCCGCATGCCCCTTTTCAGGCATTCCCCTTTTCCCGCATGCCCCTTTTCAGGCATTCCCCTTTCCCCGCATGCTCCCCTCCCCCCTCGTGCTCCCCTTCGTCTTTATGCTCCCCTCCCCCCTCGTGCTCCCCTTCGTCTTTATGCTCCCCTCCCCCCTCGTGCTCCCCTTCGTCTTTATGCTCCCCTCCCCCCTCGTGCTCCCCTTCGTCTTTATGCTCCCCTCCCCCCTCGTGCTCCCCTTCGTCTTTATGCTCCCCTCCCCCCTCGTGCTCCCCTTCGTCTTTATGCTCCCCTCCCCCCTCGTGCTCCCCTTCGTCTTTATGCTCCCCTCCCCCCTCGTGCTCCCCTTCGTCTTTATGCTCCCCTCCCCCCTCGTGCTCCCCTTCGTCTTTATGCTCCCCTCCCCCCTCGTGCTCCCCTTCGTCTTTATGCTCCCCTCCCCCCTCGTGCTCCCCTTCGTCTTTATGCTCCCCTCCCCCCTCGTGCTCCCCTTCGTCTTTATGCTCCCCTCCCCCCTCGTGCTCCCCTTCGTCTTTATGCTCCCCTCCCCCCTCGTGCTCCCCTTCGTCTTTATGCTCCCCTCCCCCCTCGTGCTCCCCTTCGTCTTTATGCTCCCCTCCCCCCTCGTGCTCCCCTTCGTCTTTATGCTCCCCTCCCCCCTCGTGCTCCCCTTCGTCTTTATGCTCCCCTCCCCCCTCGTGCTCCCCTTCGTCTTTATGCTCCCCTCCCCCCTCGTGCTCCCCTTCGTCTTTATGCTCCCCTCCCCCCTCGTGCTCCCCTTCGTCTTTATGCTCCCCTCCCCCCTCGTGCTCCCCTTCGTCTTTATGCTCCCCTCCCCCCTCGTGCTCCCCTTCGTCTTTATGCTCCCCTCCCCCCTCGTGCTCCCCTTCGTCTTTATGCTCCCCTCCCCCCTCGTGCTCCCCTTCGTCTTTATGCTCCCCTCCCCCCTCGTGCTCCCCTTCGTCTTTATGCTCCCCTCCCCCCTCGTGCTCCCCTTCGTCTTTATGCTCCCCTCCCCCCTCGTGCTCCCCTTCGTCTTTATGCTCCCCTCCCCCCTCGTGCTCCCCTTCGTCTTTATGCTCCCCTCCCCCCTCGTGCTCCCCTTCGTCTTTATGCTCCCCTCCCCCCTCGTGCTCCCCTTCGTCTTTATGCTCCCCTCCCCCCTCGTGCTCCCCTTCGTCTTTATGCTCCCCTCCCCCCTCGTGCTCCCCTTCGTCTTTATGCTCCCCTCCCCCCTCGTGCTCCCCTTCGTCTTTATGCTCCCCTCCCCCCTCGTGCTCCCCTTCGTCTTTATGCTCCCCTCCCCCCTCGTGCTCCCCTTCGTCTTTATGCTCCCCTCCCCCCTCGTGCTCCCCTTCGTCTTTATGCTCCCCTCCCCCCTCGTGCTCCCCTTCGTCTTTATGCTCCCCTCCCCCCTCGTGCTCCCCTTCGTCTTTATGCTCCCCTCCCCCCTCGTGCTCCCCTTCGTCTTTATGCTCCCCTCCCCCCTCGTGCTCCCCTTCGTCTTTATGCTCCCCTCCCCCCTCGTGCTCCCCTTCGTCTTTATGCTCCCCTCCCCCCTCGTGCTCCCCTTCGTCTTTATGCTCCCCTCCCCCCTCGTGCTCCCCTTCGTCTTTATGCTCCCCTCCCCCCTCGTGCTCCCCTTCGTCTTTATGCTCCCCTCCCCCCTCGTGCTCCCCTTCGTCTTTATGCTCCCCTCCCCCCTCGTGCTCCCCTTCGTCTTTATGCTCCCCTCCCCCCTCGTGCTCCCCTTCGTCTTTATGCTCCCCTCCCCCCTCGTGCTCCCCTTCGTCTTTATGCTCCCCTCCCCCCTCGTGCTCCCCTTCGTCTTTATGCTCCCCTCCCCCCTCGTGCTCCCCTTCGTCTTTATGCTCCCCTCCCCCCTCGTGCTCCCCTTCGTCTTTATGCTCCCCTCCCCCCTCGTGCTCCCCTTCGTCTTTATGCTCCCCTCCCCCCTCGTGCTCCCCTTCGTCTTTATGCTCCCCTCCCCCCTCGTGCTCCCCTTCGTCTTTATGCTCCCCTCCCCCCTCGTGCTCCCCTTCGTCTTTATGCTCCCCTCCCCCCTCGTGCTCCCCTTCGTCTTTATGCTCCCCTCCCCCCTCGTGCTCCCCTTCGTCTTTATGCTCCCCTCCCCCCTCGTGCTCCCCTTCGTCTTTATGCTCCCCTCCCCCCTCGTGCTCCCCTTCGTCTTTATGCTCCCCTCCCCCCTCGTGCTCCCCTTCGTCTTTATGCTCCCCTCCCCCCTCGTGCTCCCCTTCGTCTTTATGCTCCCCTCCCCCCTCGTGCTCCCCTTCGTCTTTATGCTCCCCTCCCCCCTCGTGCTCCCCTTCGTCTTTATGCTCCCCTCCCCCCTCGTGCTCCCCTTCGTCTTTATGCTCCCCTCCCCCCTCGTGCTCCCCTTCGTCTTTATGCTCCCCTCCCCCCTCGTGCTCCCCTTCCCCTTCGTGCCCCTTTTTTTCCTTACCATTTGCGCCAGGTCCCCCACCCCCTCCGCCTCCCCCTCCGCCACCCCAAGCCCCCGTCCCTGCGCCACCGTCGGATCAGCCCAACTCAAATGGCACAGATAACAAATCTAACGGTGGTGAGAGCAGCAGCAACAGCAGCAGCAGCAGTGAGAGCAGCAGTAGCAGTAATAGTGGGAGTGAGGGCAATGGGAGCAGTGGTAGCAGCAGCGGTATAAGCACGGTAGCACTAATAGGGTTACTGGCAGGGGCGGCGGTGCTTATAGCGCTGATCGTTATAGTCACGATCTACTGCTGCTGCTGTGTGTCTGGGAGGGGGAGGGGCGGTAGGGATATGGAGAAAGGAGGGGAGGAGGAGAAGCTTCGTCAGATGGTGAGGGAAGCTTCGTCCGCTGCTGCTGCCAAAAACGCGTCAGAACGAAAGAGTTTTTCACAAGGGAATGGTGCTACTGATGATGGCTACAACCGATGTGATAACAGCGAGGGTAATAGCGCAAGAGGAAAAGAGGGAGGAGGAGGGGCAGGAGGAGGGGGAGGAGGAGGGGACGGTGGTGGTGGCAGTGGGGTTGACAGGGGGAGTGGAATGGGAATGCAAGAGACACCAGTGGTCGAGTCAACGAATCAGTCCTCTCTCCCTCGGCCAATGAGCGTTCGAGTCTTCTCTTTTGCTGAGCTGGCAGAGGCTACTAATAAGTACGTTGCTGGCAGAGGCTTCTAATTAGTACGTTGCTGGCAGCTGGCAATGAAACGGCTCACTCGCCTACCCGCGCCCTCATATCCCTCCATCCCTTCCCGACCCCTCCCTTAACCCCCCGCCTTCCAATTTTGAAAATGCCAATACCTAGGGGAGGGCGGGTTCGGTCGCGTATACCTAAGGTTGAAGAACGGGCAGGAGGTGGCAGTGAAGCGGCTCACCCGCCTGTGGTTCTCCCCTCATGTCCCTCCCTCCCTCCCCCTTCCTCCCTTACACTCACTCCTCCAGTTTCGACCACGCCAACTACCTGGGCGAAGGCGGGTTCGGGCGAGTATACCGGGGGAGGCTGAAGAACGGGCAGGAGGTGGCAGTGAAGCGACTCACCCGCCCACCCACCCCCTCATCCCTTCCTCCCTCCTTCCTCTCTTTGCCCCCCAGTTTCGACCACGCCAACTACCTAGGGGAGGGCGGGTTCGGGCGCGTCTACAGAGGAAGGCTGAAGAACGGGCAGGAGGTGGCAGTGAAGCGACTCACCCGCCTGCGCGTGACAGGCAGCGGGCGCGCCAAGGGCGGCGGGGGAGGGGGGCAGGGCGAGCGGGAGTTTGTGGTGGAGGTGGAGATGCTGAGCCGCCTGCACCACCGGAATCTGGTCAAGCTGATAGGCTACTGCGCCTCCCACCACCACCAGCTATTGTGTTATGAGCTCGTGCCTAATGGGAGCCTGGAAGCCTGGTTGCATGGTGAGTGTCCCTCCTTTCTTTCTCTTCTGTGCCCTGAACGAGGTTGTGGTGGAGGTGGAGATGCTGAGCCGCCTGCACCATCGCAACCTCGTGAAGCTGATTGGATATTGTGCCTCCCACCACCACCAACTGCTGTGCTACGAGCTCGTGCCTAACGGGAGTCTGGAGGCCTGGTTGCATGGTATGTGCCCCTCCTGTTGCTAGCACGTCTGCGGGTGGGTGTGTGGGTGGGTGGGTGGGTGAGTGAATGGGTGGGTGCATCACACACCCTCCTCCTGAGGGAGTTTGTGGTGGAGGTGGAGATGCTGAATCTCGCCTGCATGTAAGTAGACGACCTTTGAGACGTCTCAAAAGTAGTGGTGGAGGTGGAGATGCTAAATCGCCTGCACTGCACCACCGGAACCTGGTGAAGCTCATTGGCTACTGCGCCCCCCATCACCTCACCACCAGCTGCTGTGTTATGAGCTCATGCCCAACGGGAGTCTAGAGGCCTGGTTGCATGGTATGTGCCCTCCCTTCCTGTTCTACCATGCCCTTCCCCCAACCCCTTTTGGAGGCCTGGTTGCACGGTGAGTGCCTGCCTGCCTTTTCCATCCCTTCCGTTTTTTCCCCCCAGTGCCCCTCCCTTCCTATCCCCTGCGCCCCGCTTGTTAATGTCGCCTTTCTGCAAGGTCTCTCGGTACATGGTCTCAAATCATTCCTTGACGCTTCTGACTTTTGACTCGACTCAAAAGTCGCCCGCTTGTTGATGGCGCCTTTCTACAAGGTCTCACGGTGCATGGTCTCAAATCATTCCTTGCCGCTTCTAGGTGACTTTTGAGTTGACTTTTGAGTCGACTAAAAAAAGGTGACTTTTGAGTCGACTCAAAAGTCAGCTTGTTAATGGCGCCGTTCTACAAGGTCTCACGGTGCATGGTCTCAAATCAGTCCTTGCCGCTTCTTCCTCCTCCCATCAAATACCCTCCCTTCCCCCATCCCATCCCTTCCCCATGTCCCCCCCCTCTCTCCAGGCTCTTTCTCCAAAGAGATTTCTGTTGGATTGGGGCGACGCGAATGCGGGTGGTGCTGGGAGCAGCGAGGGGGCTGGCCTACCTGCACGAGGACTCTCAGCCGCTCGTCATTCACAGAGACCTCAAGCCCTCCAACATCCCTTCCCCTCTCCTCCCCTCCCCTCCCATCACAGGTTCCTTCTCTAAGGAGATCATTCTCGACTGGGCAACCCGCATGCGGGTAGCGCTGGGGGCAGCGAGGGGGCTGGCCTATCTGCACGAGGACTCTCAGCCCCTCGTCATTCACCGCGACCTCAAGTCCTCCAACATCCTCCTGGAAAACGACTTTCTCGCTAAGGTGGCGGATTTCGGGCTGGCGAAACCTGCACCGGAGGGACCCGAGGGATACATCTCGACCCGAGTCATGGGCACGTTCGGGTGAGTCAGTGAGGGGCATGTGTGATTGGGTGAGGTCAGGGCATTGGGGATCGCTGAGGGAAACCGGCTCCGGAGGGGCCTGAGGGATACATCTCGACGCGAGTCATGGGCACCTTCGGGTGAGTCAGTGAGGGGCATGTGTGGATAGGTGGTGACTTTTGAGTCGACTCAAAAGTCATCACGTTTGGGTGAGTCAGTGAGGGGCATGTGTGGATAGGTGAGGTGAGGCGCGGAAAGATGGAGACCAGGGGTGACTTTTGAGTCGACTCAAAAGTCACCATGTGTGGATGGGTGAGGTGAGGCACCGAAAGATGGAGACCAAGGGTTCTGCAGCATGTGCTGCTTGAGATTCTCACAGACAGAAGGCTGCTGCACTAGATATGGCTTCCCCTGCCTGCCCCCCCATCGTTATCCCAACTTCCAAACCCAACGCCGCCCTTCCTCCCCCCCTCTCCTCACTTCCACAGAGCTACATCGCTCCAGAGTAGGCAATGACGGGGCATCTGGTGGTAGCCAGTGATGTGTACAGCTATCGCGTGGTGCTGCTGGCGCTGCTCTGCTCACAGGGAGGAAGGAAGCCCGTGGACATGAGCCAACCCCCCTCTCACTCTGCCTCTTCCCTCCCCTGCCCTTCCCTTCCCCTTCCTCTCCCTCTACCCAGCTATGTCGCCCCAGAATACGCAATGACGGGGCATCTGGTGGTAGCCAGTGACGTGTACAGCTATCTCGTGCTGCTGCTGGCGCTGCTCTGCTCACAGGGAGGAAGGAAGCCCGTGGACATGAGCCAACCCCCCTCTCACTCTGCCTCTTCCCTCGCCTACCCCTCTCATCCCCCATCCTCCCCATTCACAGGTATGTCGCCCCAGAGTATGCAATGACCGGCCATCTGGTGGTTGCATCAGACGTGTACAGCTATGGCGTGGTGCTTCTAGAGCTGCTCACAGGGAGGAAGACTGGTGTGCTGGAGATGACATGAACCCCCCTCCCATGCTTCCGTCCCCCCACACCCCCTACCCCCCAGATATGTCGCCCCAGAGTACGCCATGACGGGCCATCTGGTCGTTGCTTCAGACGTGTACAGCTACGGCGTGGTGCTTCTAGAGCTGCTCACAGGGCGGAAGCCACTGGACATGAGCCAGCTCCCTGAAAGCAAGCCCCCTATGCCATCCCATCTTTCCCAAACTCCCAGATACGTCGCCCCGGAATACGCAATGACAGGCCACCTCGTGGTAGCAAGCGACGTGTACAGCTATGGCGTGGTGCTTCTAGAGCTGCTCACAGGGAGGAAGCCCGTGGACATGAGCCAGCCGCCTGGGGACGAGAACCTGGTCACGTGGGCACGGCCAAGGCTGGGGAATGCTGGGCGGCTGGATGAACTTCTAGATCCCAAGATTTCTTCTCAGGTAAGACGCATTTTTGGGTTGATTGGATGGTGAGATTATGTTTGCCTCAGGTCAGAAGCCCGTGGACATGAGCCAGCCGCCTGGGGACGAGAACCTGGTCACGTGGGCGTGTCCGCGGCTGGGGAATGCTGGACGGCTTGATGAGCTTTTGGACCCGAAGATTGCTTCCCAGGTGAGACTGTGTTGGATTCAGGACGTAACTCGCTGGGTTCAGCCTCTTCAGGTCATGTGCTCCAAGTCAGAAGCCAGTCGACATGAGCCAGCCTCCCGGGGACGAGAACCTGGTCACGTGTGCGTGGTCCCGACTGGGGAATCCTGGAAGACTTGACGAGCTGCTGGACCCGCGAATTGCTTCCCAGGTGAGAGAGTTGGCTGGATTCAGGACAAATTCTTTGGGTTCAGGTGAGAAGCCCGTGGACATGAGCCAGCCTCCCGGGGACGAGAACCTGGTCACGTCACGTGGGCGCGGTCCCGACTGGGGAATGCTGCCAAGGCTCGATGAGCTTCAAGACCCGGCATTTTCCAGCCGGGCGATTGATTTATTCCCAGGTGAGATGCTTTGTAGGACCCCTTAGATGGTAAGAATTGTTTGGTTCAGCTATGTTGGTGTGACTTTTGAGAATTCTAAAAAGTCACACCGAGAATTCTCAAAAGTCTTCCCAGGTGAGATGCTTTTTAGGATCCCTTAAATGGTAAGAGTTTGTTTGGTTCAAGTCAGAGGTCGGTGGTCCAGGTCTTGATTTGTCTCGATCTGACTTTCGAGTCGACTCAAAAGTCACTTTCGAGTCGACTCAATAGGACCCTTAGATGGTAAGAATTCGTTTGGTTCAGGTCAGAGGTCGGTGGTCCAGGTCTCGATTTGATTTGTCTCGATCTGGATTAATGTTGATCAACCTCGATCGTATCCTCTGTGAAGTTGATAAGTGTTCTATTCCATTTGTGTCCTGTCTCTTCCCATCTCCCGTCACACCACCAGGTATCTCCCAGCGACCTGGAGCAAGCAGCAGCCGTGGCACAGGCGTGTGTGGTGGCTGAACCGACAGACCGACCCCCCCACCCCCACCCCCCACACCAGGGAATGCGCTCCCAGTCTCATCTGTATTGTGCTCCCCCCCTCCCCATCACACCACCAGGTATCACTTAGTGATCTGGAGCAAGCAGCAGCAGTGGCACAGGCATGTGTGGCGGCTGAGCCGACAGACCGACCCCCCATGGGGGAGGTGGTGCAATCATTGAAGAGACTAGAGGCTCTGGTGAGTGAAAGTGACTCTATTGAGTGTGACTGTGGTGAGCTTGTTAGTGGGTTTACAGTCTCCTCGCAAGGCGTGTGTGGCGGCTGAACCGTCTGACAGACCCCCCATGGGGGAGGGAGGCGGTGCAATCATTGAAGAGACTAGAGGCTCTGGTGAGTGAGTGTGACTGTAGTAATTGTGACTGTAGTGGGTGTGACTCTACTGCGCATGTTACTTGGCCAGCAGGATTAGGAGGAGCATTCATTCCTTACCACTGCCTTATGGATCCTCGCTTCTAGCTCCTCTTCATCCCTCCTTCCTCCATTCATTCCCTCCCTCCTCACACCATCCACTTTCTCCCTCCCCTCTCCCCCCACCCACCACAGCACGACCAGGAGCATTCAACCCTAACCACTGACCACTCCCCCTACGGATCCTTGCTCTTTGATCCACCAACCTCTTCGATCCCTCATCCCTCGTCCCTCCATTCTCCATTCTCTCATTCCCCCCTCTCTCCCCACCCACCACAGCACGACCAGGAGCATTCAACCCTAACCACTGACCACTCCCCCTACGGCTCCCTGCTGCTCTCGAACCAGCCCCTTCCATACGACACGTACAACCCTCCCGACTGTAGCAACGACCTCACTGAGGATTTGTTAGCAGCTAATCCGGGCAGTGAGGATGGAAGCGAGGGAGGCAATATAGAGGATGACGAAGGTAATCACACATCTGCAGATGCTGCTGTTGCTGTTGCTGCTGCTGCTGTCCCAGCAGCAAATAGATGACAGGAGATTCTCCAGGAGATTCTCCAGGAGATTCCCCAGGAGTTTCAAGGAGGCTGACAGTCTGCTAAAGTGCTGTTTAACAAAGCCAGCTGAGGTCAGCTTCAGCTGGGTAGGCTGAAAGAATAGGATAGGACAGAGTAGTGGCTTGGCTTAAGATTCTGGAAGCTCAGAAGGCTTTCTGGAACAAAGTGTTCCATGCTCAAAATGGGGCTGCTGTATGTGAATGGTGCCTTGACAGATTTGATGTTGTTACATGAGTTACAACCCACTTGCTTAGGGTGTGTTCCTACGGCCCCTTATCAGGCCAACTTCTGACCAGACTTGCAAAAATCACCTCCATTTCGGCTTAAGCTGAATATTTATTTCTTCCTTTTCGTGGTTGTTAAATTTAGGGTACATTCCTGGAGCGCGTCACAAAAGCCTCGCGTCTCAAAAGACGAGATACAGTGCGGTGGAGACGTTCGATGCTTAGGTGTAATGCGGTGCTGAGCGGTACACTGCTTTTGTGATGCCTAAATTAAAGACATGTCTTCGCAGGAATGTACCCTTAGTTCCCTACTGTAGGAGAACTGTCAACTTTGCAAACAATTGAGCCTGTAGCTATTTTGTAATGCGATTTTGGAGCATAGATTAAATCACACGTAATGTATAGAGGTGTACCTGTTACATCATATCTGCTGGAATTAATTATCTTCCTTGCACTGGAGCACACCTTTCCCCCAACCTCGAGATTTGCCACGAGATGGCCAGCTCGAGTTCAGGCAGGCAGATTTTGCCAACTCCCTGATCCTGACCTGAGGCCATGCGGTTTGTTCAGTTGGTTCATCTACCATCCATTTCTCCCGAGCACCGAGTCTCTGAACAGTTTGTTGCTTGTTCGTCTGATCAATAGTGGTCTTCCTGAATCGCGATTCTTTGCTTATCAGTTACCTTATCCGTTCATGCGTCGCTTTTCTCTACGCTGCCGTTTTCCGTGGACGCGTCGACGGGCATTGGAGGTTTGTAACTTCCTTGGATTAGAATGAGCGGCGGAGGTTGAATCGGGACCGTCCACTCAAATCCGACGCGTACTGGAGGCCATGTACGTTAGCTTCGGTTCCAGCAATTTTTCTACATTGATTTTCCAATTAGTTCTCATAAATCCAGTGTAGTCCTACTTGGTCCTTTTTTATTCAATTTGTGCATTAGGGTTTCCCGATCTTCGTTTTGATGGATCCGGGACCTCCAGAGCGGAAAGATGTGTCTGCTGATTCAACCGCCAGAGTTGCTGGGAAGCACTATTCCGATGACAGATCTACGGCCGGGAGGAGTTTTGGCGATGCGCGGGGGGGAGGACGGAGATCGGGCGGTGGCGATTATTCCGAGAGCGCGAAGGGGAGGGAAAACTACCACGAACGTTCGTCGAGGGAATCGGTGATGGCATCAGCTCAACGAGCTGCTGATTGGACGCACGACCCGAGGGACGGTGGAGATTTGACGAGAAGCGTCAAAGAAAAGGATGACCGTGGATTACCGCCGAGGGGACCCGGCGACAGGAGAGGAGGAGGAGGAGGAGGTGTTAGGGTTTCAAATGAAGATCTCCGCGAGAGACTGAGGGCCACTGGGCATGAAAGGGACAGAGACAGAGAGAGAGACAGAGACAGGGACAGGGACAGGGACAGGGACAAGGATAGGGACAGGGACAGGGATTCGCAAGGCGGGGAAAGAGTTCCGCCAATGCAGCCGCAAGGAGGGGGAAGAACTCCGCCGATGCACCCGCAAGGAGGGGGGAGAACTCCGCCGATACATCCGCAAGGAGCGGAACGAGAGCCGAGGGACGGGGGGAAGGAGGCCAGCGGTGAGGGGAGACAGGACCGGGAGCCGCGGTTCCGTGGGGGGGGTGGAAGGGGGGATGTAGGTTCGGGAATGGCAGGCCAGAGAGGGAGGCTCGGCAGGGAGGAGAGGGGCGGCGACGGGAATTGGGGTGGTGGGAGGGGGAGATTTGGGAGGGAGGGCAGGGGCGACGGCGGCTTTAGAGGCGGAAGGGGGGGGCGTTGGGGGAGGGACGGGAGCGGAAGGGGGGTTGGCGCGCGGGGAAGGGGGGCTGACGAGCGAGGGATGGGGAGGAGCAGGGGGGGTGATTGGGCGGAGCGAGGGGGGAGGAGTGGAGGAGACGGGAGAGGTGGTAGGGATGGGCGGGTGGACGGAGGGGAGGAGGAGAGAGAGGAGAGGGGGGGGGGGGGGGAGGAGAGGAGGGAGGAGAGGAAGGAGGAGGGGACGGAGGAGCGGGAGCATACGGATGGTAACACTGTAACGCGTAAAGGAATCTGGTCCCGATTGGGTACAGACAGCACTCAGCATGGGAAGGAGCAGCTTCGCGGAAGCAGCAGAGAGCAAGGAGGGATTGATATGGGCGGCAGAGAGGGGAGAAGCGAGGAGAGGGGGCGTGTGGAGAGGAGGGGGAGCGTGGAGAGATGGGAAAGCAGAGAGAGGAAGGGGAGTATGGAGAGAGCAGGGAGCAGGGAGCGGGAGAGAGAGAGGGAGAAGGAGAGGGAGGGTCGACCATACCCACACCACAGGCAGAGGGACTCCCCCTCGCACAGTCACAGTCATAGTCACAGCAAGGGGGACTCTGACGGGCGTGACAATAGCGAGCGGAGAGTGAGGAGCTTCCAGGCTGGTCGAAGCCCGCTGGGTGTGGAAATGAGTGCGGCTAGAGGCGCTTCGTTACAAGACAACTCGATAGAAAGAGACGCTTCTTCGAGAGACAAGTCACGAGAAAGAGGCGCTTATTCGAAGGACGGTTCACGCGAGAGGAGCGAGAGAAGCGAGAGGAGCGAGAGGGGAAGGGAGTTCAATGGAAGCCGTTTGGGAGCGGAGGCTAGAGTGCGGCCGAGTTTTGGGGATCTAGAGGAAGGGGAAGAGGCGATGGGGTGGGATGGGGAGGAGAGGGAGGAGGGCGAGAACAGGGGAGGGGGGTACGAGGGGTTTGAGGACCAGGGGGTGGGGGAGGAGAGGGTGGAGAGGGGTGACGTGGGGGTTGGAAGGGAAAGAGATGCGGTTGGGAGTGGTGATGGTGGTAATGGTGATGGTGAGGAGGAGGAGGACGGGGAGATGGGCGGTGGGGCATGGGGGGAGAAAGAGGGGATGGTGGTGGGGGGAGAGGAGGGGGAGATTGAGGAAGGGGAGTTTGATGGAGGTGGGGAGAGGGAGCCTGGGGGGGAAAGTGACTTTACGGAGCGTGATAGTAAGGAGCGTGAGCGTGATAGGGACGAGCGTGATAGTAAGGAGCGTGATAATGCAGGGAGGAACTGGATGGATGACTTAAACGAGTTGGAAGAGGAGCAAGAGCCGCAGGAGAGGGCTGGTGTGATAAAAACGGGGGCTGAGAACGGGGAGGTTAAGGGAAGAGGAGGGAATGGGGTAGAGACGAAGGAGGAGGCGGGCAGGGGAGAAGGGGAGCGAGTGAGGCAGGGGGAGAGGGAGAGGGAGGATGATAAGGAGGAGGAGGGGGAGGAGGAGGAGAGGGTGGATTGGGGGGAGGGAGAGAGCGAGGACGAGGAGGAGCAAGGTTTTTGGGACAATGAGCGGGAGAGGGAGGCAGAGGAGGGGTATAGAGCTCCTGGAAGGATGGGAGGATCGGAAGGGGAGGAGAGGCGGGAGTTGGGTGGCATGAAGGACGACACGAGGAGGGGAAGAGATAACGGGGGAGCGGAAGAGAGGCCAGTGAGTGTAGATGCTAGCACACGGAAGACACCAGCAGGGGGGGCTGGAGTGGATGAAAGGTATGGGGAAGAGAAGGGTGCAGAGAGGAATGGGGACAGGGACAAAGGTAGAGACAGAGGCAGGGACAGGGACAGGGAAAGGGACGGAGACAGAGACAGAGATAGGGTCTTACTCAGTGCGAGTAAAATTGGAGGGGAGAGGGGTCCAGATCACGATGGTTTAGCTTATGAGGCGCCTCAGAACGCGAGTGGAGCAGTAGGGGAGAGAGGGCGGGGCCATGCCAGTGCAAGCTGGAAGAAGGAGCAGCAGAGGGCAGACTTCGAACAACCAGTTTCTACACTTGCAGATCGTGGGCAACTTACAACACAAGACCCGAAAAGAATCTCAGCTGAGAAGGACGAAGGAGAGATGGTTGCTAGTGCGGCTCACGAAGAGAAGTCTGCAGAGGCTGAGAGGAGGAAGAGCAGGAGCAGTAGCAGCAGTAGTAGCAGTGACGAATCTTCAGAGCTTTCTTTGTCTGCGTCTGATTTAAGTGATAGCGAGGCGAGTGAGGAGGGGGAGGAGACGTGGAGGAGGGGGAGGGCTGTGGAGAGGCGTGAGGGGAGAGGTGAGGGGAAAGGTGAGGGGAAAGGTGAGGGGAGGGGTGAGGGGAGGGGTGAGGGGAACGATAAGGGTGCTGGTGAATGGGGTGGTGGGACAGGAATGGGTGTACGGCAAGGGTCCAGAGGGGATTTGAATGAGTTGGAGCGAGAGGAACGAGAGGAGAGAGAGGAGGGTAAAAAAAGAAGGGACAGAGAGGAGAGAGAGAGGAGAGACGGAAGAGACGGGAGAGAGGAGGGAGAGGAGAGACAAAAGGGAGAGGCGGGGGAAGATAGAGAGGAGGGTGAGAGGGTTGGTGCAAGGGCAGGTGGGGGCATGGGCGTTATGAGAGGGTCGAGAGGGGATCTGAGGGAGGGGGAAGAAGGAGAGGGAGGAGAGGGAGGAAGGAGAAAAGAGGTAGAGAAAATAGGGGAGGAAGAGGAGGGTGAAAGGGGTGGTTTACGAGGGGAAGGCATGGGTGTGAGGCGGGGGTCACGAGGAGATTTGCAGCGATTGGAACGGGAAGAGGAGGAGCAGCGTGAGGGGCAGGGGAGCGGAGGAAGGGAGGGGGGGAGGGAAAGGAGAGAAGTGCTCAGAGGGGACGAGGAGAAGGAGAGAGGAGAGAGGGAGAAGGTGAGGGAGAGGGAGCGGGAGAGGGAGAAGGAGAGGGAGAAGGAGAGGGAGAAGGAGAAGGAGAGGGAGAAGGGAGGAGAGAAGGAGAGGGAGAAGGAGAGGGAGAAGGAGAAGGAGAGGGAGAAGGAGAGGGAGAAGGAGAGGGAGAAGGAGAAGGAGAGGGAGAAGGGAGGAGAGAAGGAGAGGGGGCATGAGAGGGGTAGGGAAAATGAGAGGAGGCGTGAAAAGGAGGGGGGAAGGGAGAAGGGGCATGAGAAGGAAAGAGAAAGGGGGGAGAGAGTTGATAAGGGGGATGAGTCGAGGAGGCGGGAGAGAGATGATAAGAGAGATGATAAGGGGGATGATTCAAGGAGGCGTGAGAAGGATGGAGGGAAAGGAGGGGAGAGGAAGGAGGAGAGAGAGAGGGGAAAAGGCCATGAGAAGGAAAGGGAGCGAGAAAAAGAAAGGTTGAAGGAGACGGAGAGAGAGGGACCAAAAGGGGAGGTAAAGGAGCGGAGGGATAGGGAGAAAGACGGAAGGGGACGTAGTAGTGAGAGAGAAAAGGCTTCATTTGTAAGAGATGAGGAGACAAGGGATCGTGGGGACGGGCGTGGGAAGGAACGTGAGGGTAGGCATAAGGATGGGCAGAAGGATGGGCAGAAGGATGGGCAGAAGGATGGGGAGAAGGAAACAGATAGGCATGGTCGTGACAAGGCAGGGGGTAGGAAGAGGGAGAGAGAGGATGAGGGGGAGGAGGAGAGGGAGAAAGGGAGGCATAAGGATGGGCATAGGGAGAGTGGGCGGGATGGGCGTGAGGGGAAGAGGGAAGAGGGACGGAGGAGGAAGGAGGAGAAGGATAGGGATAAGGGAGAGCATGGGAGGGAAGGGAGAGAGAAGGAGGAGAGGAGGGTGAAAGAAGATCGAGGAAAGGAAGAGAAAGGGAGGGAAGAGGGGGAGCGAGATGAGAGAGGGAGGAGGGGGAAGGGTAGGGATGAGAGAGGAGGAGAAGGGAGAGGGAGGGAGGCGAAGAGGAGGGAGGGGAGAGTGAGAAGGGATGGTTCAGAGGAGGATTACGGTGGGTCAGAGGGGGTGGAAGGGAGGGGGCAGAGGGAGGGGAGTGGGGAGGGCAGGAGAGGAAGTGGCGACGGGAGGGGCAGTGGCGACGGGAGGGGCAGCAGCGAAGGGAGGGGCATTGGGATGGGATTACCATCGTTCCGAAAGGGAGGAGAGCAGGAGAGGCAAGGAGAGGAGAGGCGAGGAGAGGAGAGGAGAGGGGAGGAGAGGCGAGGGGAGGAGAGGCGAGGGGAGGAGAGGCGAGGGGAGGAGAAGAAAGGGGAGGACAGTAGAGATGAAGACGAGAGGAGGGATGAGGAAGGGGAGAGGCGAAGAGGGGCGGTGGGGGGGAGAGGCAGAAGCTTTTTGAGAGATCAGGGGGAGGAAGGGAGGCCTGGTGAGGGGTGGAAGGGCGATGGAGCAAGGAGGCCTGGTGAGGGGTGGGCAGAGGGGAGGAACAGTGAGGAGAGGACTAGTGAGGGGAGGACCGGTGACGGGTGGAAGGGGGATGGATCAAGGAGGCCTGGCGAAGAGTGGCAAGGGGAAGGAACATGGAGGTCTGGGTCTGGGGATGGGGGTATGATGGGGAGGGGGCGAGGCAGGGAGTGGGGCGTGGGGAGGGGCGGGATGGGCAGGGGAATGGGAAGGGGGGGTATGGATGGGGAAATGGGAAGGGGAATGGGAAGGGGGGGTATGGATGGGGAAATGGGAAGGGGAATGGGGAGGGGGGGTATGGATGGGGAAATGGGAAGGGGAATGGGAAGGGGGGGTATGGATGGGGAAATGGGAAGGGGAATGGGGAGGGGGGGTATGAATGACATGGGGAGGGGAGTGGGAAGGGGCATGGGCAGGGATGGGAGCATGGGTAGGGTGGGGATGGGTATGGGTGGGGAGATGGGGAGAGGCATGGGTAGGGGCATGGGGAGAGGTACGGGAAGGGGCATGGGGTATGATGGAGGGAGGGACGGGGGGGATGCGCGGAATGGGGATGTGAGAGGTGGGGGATCTAGGCCGGGCGATAGCAGGGGTAGCGGCGCAAATGCTGAAGAGGGGAAGGGAGGTGTGGTGGTTGGGGCAGTTGCAGGAGCAGGGTTATTGAGCAAGGGGAATAGAAGTGCGGTAGAGGAGGAGTTGGAAGCACGGAAGAGAGAGAGGATGAGGCTGATTGCTGAGCTGGCGCGGAAAGAGAAGGAGGCGGGGGAGGGGGGGACGGAGTGGGAGGAGGGGGAAGAGAAGGAAGGGGATGGGGAGGGGGGGAAGAAGAGAGGTCGGAGGGAGGATGGAGAGGGAGGGGAAGACAGGGAGGAAGGGGAGGAAGGAGAGGAGAGGAAGAGAGTGGGGGGAAGTGTAAAGAGGGGCAGGTGGGGAGATGATGAAGTGGGACATATGGAAGAAGGGATGGAAGGGAAGGGGAAGGGGAAGGGGGATGAAGGGAGAAAGGGGAGAGCAAAAAGGGGAGAGGAGGAGATGAGTGGTGGAGAGGGAGAGAAGGAGGGGTGGAGAGAGGAAGGTGAGGTGGAGGATATGGCAGCAGGGCATGGGGAGGAGGTAGGGGGGAAGGAGGAGGAGAGAAGGGCGCAAACGGAGGGAGTGGGTGGGTCGAAATGGGGTAGTAGATGGTTGGATGAGGAGGAGGAGGAGGAGGAGGAGGAGGAGGAGGAGGAGGAGGAGGAGGAGGAGGAGGAGGAGGAGGGAGCAGGAGCGGGAGCAGGAGAGGGAGCAGATGAGGAGGGTAGAGCGAGGGTTAATACCCCAGATGAGGAAGGTAGAACGAGGGATAGTACCCCGGATGAGGAGGGTAGAAGAAGGGATAATACCCCTGATGATGGGGGTGGAAGGAGAGACACGGGGGGTGATACTGATATGGAGGAGGGGGAGGGGGAGGGGGATGAGGAGGGGAAGGGGAAGGGGAAGGGAAAAAGGGAGGAACAGGAGGGAGATAGGAGCAGGAGGAGGGGGAGGGTGGGTGGTGATAGTGAAGGGGGTGGCAGTAGGGCGGGTGAGAGTGTGAAGGAGAGAGACGATGGGGAGGGTATGGAAGGGGGGAGGAAGAAGGCAGACAGGGAGACTGGGGGTGAGGGTGAGGATGAGGGTGAGGGTGAGGGTGATGGGGATAGAAAAGGAGACAAAGAAGAAACTGAAAGTGCCGGCCTGCCGCCCCGTGCAGCCACCTGTGCAAGGAGGGATGAAAAGCACAGAGAGAGCTCCAAGTCCCCTCTACCTCATGACCCATCGTCATCAGAAGCAGCAGCAGGAGCAGCAGCAGGAGCAGCAGCGGAAGCAGCAGCGGTGAAAGCTATATTCGGCGGCTGTCGCAGCGTGGACTCTTTTGAACGGCTGGATGTGCTCGGTGAGGGGGTGTACGGCGTGGTGCATCGCGCTCGGGACAAAGAAACCGGGGAGATCTACGCTTTAAAGCGCGTCAAGATGGAGAAGGAGAGGGAGGGTTTCCCTCTAACATCCCTCCGGGAGATTAATATACTATTGGCTCTAGACCACCCGGCGATTGTGGGGGTGAAGGAGATGGTGGTTAATTCATCCATGGATCGGGTTTTCATGGTTATGGAATATGTAGAGCATGACTTAAAGGTGCTTTTAGACGCGATGCCGAGGCCGTTTGGGCAGGCGGAGGTGAAGTGTTTAGTGAAGCAGCTTCTAGAGGGGATAAGCTACATGCACGCGAATTGGGTGCTGCATCGGGATTTGAAGACGTCGAATTTGCTGATGAACAACGCGGGGGGGATCAAGATATGCGACTTTGGCCTGGCGAGGCAGTATGGGGATCCGCTTCGGCCGTACACCCAGCCTGTGGTTACCCTGTGGTACAGGTGGGTGTTTCTTTCTACAGATGTTCTCTTCTGCAGGAGTGCTTACTACAGGTGTGCTAGGCTGAAGGTGCGTGGTTATGCTCTAATCTGTTTATGGACAACTTGCCGGGGGGGATCAAGATATGCGACTTTGGCCTGGCGAGGCAATATGGGGATCCGCTGTGGCCGTACACCCAGCCTGTGGTTACCCTGTGGTACAGGTGGGTGGTGATTCACAGATGTTTTCTTCTGCAGGAGTCTTTGCTACAGGTGGGCCAGGCTGCAGGTGCGTGGTTATGCTTGAATCTGCTGATGAACAATTCGGGTGGATCAATATATGTGACTTTGGCCTGGCGAGGCAATATGGGGATCCGCTTCGGCCGTACACTCAGCCTGTGGTTACCCTGTGGTACAGGTAGTTGCTTCTTCTTTAGTAGGCTCTGTCTGCTACAGGTGGGCTACTGAGGTCTCTGCTACAGGAGGGCTCTCCAGTCGTCTCCTCTCCAACCTGCCCTTTCTCAATCATGCTCCCAAACATCATGCCCACACCATGCATCCTCCCAAACATCGCTTGCCCTCAGCATCCCATCATACCGTGCCATTTCTTCCCCAAATCCCCCCTCACCGCTCCTCCACCCCCTTCTACCCCCTCCACAGCATTAGAGCTGCTGCTGGGGCAGAAGGAGTATTCCACAGCCATCAACGTCTGGTCTCTAGACTGCACCATGACAGAACATCTCATTCCTCTTCCCCTGCTCCCCATTCTCCCCCTTCTCTCTCCTCCCATCACTCCTCCCCCATCTCCTCCAGCCCAGAGCACCGGAGCTGCCGCTGGGGCAGAAGGAGAATTCCACAGCCATCTACATCTGGTGTCCCGGATGCATCATGGTGACTTTTGAGTCGACTCAAAAGTCACCTCGTTACCATGGCACACAGCCATCGACATCTGGTGCCCCGGATGCATCATGGCCGAAATAATGACCAGTTCAATGAGCACCACCCCCCACCAACCCCCACCAACCCCCACCAACCCCCACCACCCTTCACCACCCCCCCCCCCAACCCCTCCAGATCACCGGAGCTGCTGCTGGGCCAGAAGCAGTATTCCACGGCCATCGACGTGTGGTCCATGGGATGCATCATGGCAGGGTCTGTTTTGAGGCATCTAGTTTTGAGACATCTCAAAAGTAGTCCACAGCCATCGACGTGTGGTCCATGGGATGCATCATGGCTGAAATCATGACCAATCTAGTGCTCCCCCCTGCCCCTCCCTGACCAACCCCAATCCCAGATCACCAGAGTTGCTGCTGGGCCAAAAGGGTATTCCACAGCAATCGACGTGTGGTCCATGGGATGGGATGCATCATGGCTGAAATCATGACCAGTTTAGTGCTCCACCCTGCCCCTCCCTCACCAACCCCAATCCCAGATCACCCGAGTTGCTGCTGGGCCAAAAGGAGTACTCCACAGCCATAGACGTGTGGTCCATGGGATGCATCATGGCTGAAATCATGACCAGTTTCGTACTCCATCATTTTCATACTCCCCCCTGCGCCTCCCCGACCATCTCCCACCCATCCCCACCAGAGCACCAGAGCTGCTGCTGGGGCAGAAACAGTATTCCACAGCAATCGACGTCTGGTCCATGGGATGCATCATGGCTGAAATCATGACCAAGAAACCACTCTTCAAAGGCGAATCTGAAATAGAGCAGCTACAGAAGATTTTCTCGCTCCTCGGAACCCCCACCGACGACACCTGGCGAGGGTTTTCTGAGCTGCCCGCGTGCAAAAAGGGAGCCCGGTTTCCGTCTTTCACGGTGAATCGGCTCCGGGAGCTTTTCCCGGCGATTTCGATTGGCGGGAAGCCGACGCTGTCAGAGGCTGGGTTCGATCTGCTGTCGCGGATGCTCATGTGCGATCCCAGCCGTCGGATCAGCGCTGCGGATGCGGCGAATCACGCGTGGTTTAGGGAGGAGCCGCTGCCCAAGGCGCAGCAAGACATGCCGGAGTTTCCGATCTTGAACGAAAAAGAACGGTACGTCTGTCTTCTCTTCCCATGCTTGAAGTCAGTATTGTATCGCTCTTTTGCAAATCACTTGGTGTTGGGTTAGGAGCCTGAGCGTTTGCCGAAGGCGCAGCAGGACATGCCGGAGTTTCCAATCTTGAACGAAAAAGAACGGTATGTTAATCATCGCATCGCATCCCATCCTTCAGAATGGTAAATGTTTCTCTCCGTGGCAGCCTTACATTGCACCATGTCTCGTTATGTCCCTCCATTTTCTCACTCTGTATGCAGCCGCCGTCGAAGGTCTTTCCGGAGCCCTGACCCTCTGAAGGAGCTGCAGCGGCAGGAGAAGATGCGGGAAAAGACAGGACACACTGGCCTGTTTTCATGAGATTCTTTCCCAGTTGCTGGTTGTAAGGAATGTGACAGCGTGTCGACGGTCTTTCAGTAGCCCTGGCCCTCTGAAGGAGCTGCACCGGCAGGAGCAGATGCGAGAAGTGACAGGGCACACTGGCCTGTTTTCATGAAAGAAAGAAAGAACAAAATTCGGTTGCTGGTATCCTATTGAATGTGGTAGCTTCACACTGGAGAAGGCACAAGAGAAGGCAAGGACACTTGCCGGTTCTTGCCTTGAGATGGTTTTGAGGATTTTGATGAATGTGTACTGCAACAGCAGGAGATGATGCAGAGGAAATGGCAGGCTAGAGGCTGGCTGTCATTTGTTGTTCGTTATACTGAATTGCTGTCATTCCAGCGTCAATCATCTTTAGGCTCTTGAGGAGGAGATAGAGTTGTGCAAGAGTTTGATGAGCAGAGCAGAGGTACAAGTTGTGCAAGCTTTTGATGAGCAGATGAACGTAAAATGGGGGGGTAGGACTGATGACTACGAAGCACCAAAAGAACAGAGACATAAATCCACCAGAAGGACCACGTGGGGAAAAATCGCGTTCAGCAGGATTCGAACCTGCGAGGGCGTAGCCCAACAGATTTCAAGTCTGTCCCGTTAACCACTCCGGCATGAACGCACGTCCTCGCACCACGAATACCGTATTCAACTCATGGTTTGTTTGCAGTGTGTTCTCCTCTTGCTGTGCTTAGTGTACTCTATTGCACACAAGCCGCCATGTTGAGTCGACGGTTAGGAGCGCTGTTCGCGCAGGCGAAGGAATCGACGGGCATCGTCGGCCTCGATGTTGTCCCCAACGCGCGTCAGGTGCTCATCGGCCTCTACAACCAAACCCTAAGCGCCGTCCAGGTGATTCCTCAGGAGGCCGTGTACAGGCAGAACGTGGAGGCGCTGACGAGGCAGCGGCTCGCAGTGTGCGAGGAGGAGCAGGAAGCGGAGCGGATCGAAGCGCGCGTGCAATGCGGACAGGTGGAGGAGCTGATCGAGCAAGCTAAGGACGAGCTAGAACTGATTCCTAAGATGGCCGGTGAGACTCTCGTCCTGTTAGCCAGTAAGGTTCCCGTCGTGCTGAGCGGTGTTGGGTGGCAGGAGTTTATAGCAGGGATTAGAGCGAGTCGTTGCGTTATTGGTCTGTAGGTGCGCGATCGGCGAACCAGGGGTCGCGAATCGGCGTGAGCTCGGTGTGTCGCGATCGTCGCATGCGGGTGACGGCGTGGGGTCAGGTAAGGGTTGCTATCGGGTTAGGGATTCTTCTGTCAGTTCGCGCGCAACGTCGCTCGCGCAACGTCGCATGGGGGTGAGGCCTCTATGATATGCTAATGTTTTGCACGGTTCGCAGTTCGCAACTCGCGTCTCCCCTAGATCGCGTGTCCCCTAGATAGTACCGTACTTCGCGCTCTCAGTATCATGCCCAAGCTTGAGACGTCATTATTGTCTTCTACGTAGTACGGTAGTTCTGCGAGCTGTCACTGTCTCGCTTATGCCCAGGACGTCTCAGAAGTTTCCCAGCGGGTACAGTGATACTGTGGTCCTGCTGTGGTCCTGCTCACGCTTGAGACATCTCAAAAGTGTTCGAGAGGGTACAGTGATACTGTAGTACTACAAGCTGTCATGTGCTCTTCCTGAAGTGCTCCCGATCTTCCGAGGTCAAGGGGCCGTCGGCCTTAGACGAGCTCTGTAACTGTACAACGCTGGGTTGACGACCGGTAAGTAGGGTTTGTGAGTGGGGAGTAGGTGGATAGAGGGCTAAGTTGTGCTTATACGTTCGGAGTAGGGGATTGTGGCCTGTGGCCACGGTTTGTGATGGGTCCTGTGCTGCCCATACAAAGCTTCAAGGCTTTGGATCAGCTGATTCCATGGGTTCTTACGAGTGTGATTGTGCTTGTGTGTACGTTTGTGTGCGTGCATGTGTGTGCATGTGTGTGTGTGTTGGGGGAGGAGGGGGGGGAGTGTGTGCGTTTGTGTGTGTGTGTGTGTGCGTGTGTGTGATGGGGTGTGTGGGAGTGGCGTGTCTCGGCCACATCGTTGGTGCTGTGTGTGTTTCTTCTCCCAACAAGCAGAGTGGAAGCCATGGGAGGTCCCAGAAGGCCACAAGATTGAGATTGAGGAAACATTTGGAGATGTCCCTTCCCATGTTCCGGACCACAGAAGCTGAGACCTTTTTACATATCAGTTTGATAATTCCATTTTGTGAACGTTACACACATCTAGTGAATGTACAAGCAAGGTGTTTTGCAGTGCAATCAGTTGAAGGTGTTCAGCTTCCATGGATGACGCTTCCCATATGTTCAAATTGGAATCTTCTCTACATTACACATATTTGGATTGTTTTACTGAGTACGTAGTTTTAAAGTTCAGTTTTTAGTTGAGGAATCACGAACCCACACAATCGTTCTCAACGTACCCGAACCGGCGCTACAAATATCTCCGTTTTCGCCACCTTCGCTTCACCGACCAATTGCAGAAAAGCTCCGTCGAGCCAATCAACACGGCCCAGCTTCCACCCCTCCAATCGTTCGGCAGGATCGACGCTAGAATTGTGCCGCAGGAGATTTGAGATTGCTGCTGGAGGACCCTTGGTGTCGTTGAGCGAAATAGGCGTGGCGAAAGACGACAGCTCGCAGTTTTGCCCCATTAGACTTGAAGCGAAACGCTTGTGGTGGTAACCACCTACGATGGACCATTGATTTGATTGTTCATGCAAACCATTTCCCCTCAGCAAAACATGAGAAACTCTGATCCTGCCAACACATACTTGCAGCTGCAATGATGGGTTGTCAAGGCGTGTGACGATCCACTGAATCCTCAAAGGAGGCCTGAGTAGGTCTCGTGTTGGAGACTAGAAGAGCGAATCTCAAAGCTTCATTCTTCTGTCTCCGAGCATACGTTTAGCTCGTTCCAGGAGAATCGGTCGTGTCGTCAAAAGCCAGGTCTCCTGCCTCAAGCGGTGTCTCTACAAGTTATCATTAGCTTCCAGTGCACAGTCGGAAAATCTAGCGTCATATACATCTGTTCGAGAAGTTTAAGGGAAAGACGACGTCGCGTTCAGCGTGCGTAATTTCCGGCGTAGTATCCGGCATTCCATCTGGTGACGCATTCGTCATGAATGCTCAGGCGAGCATCGTCAGGCCGCCTGCGAGCACTTTCGCCGCGGCGCCACCTGGCAGCCTGGGAATCGTCACGAGGGTTTCTACATTGGACACGTGTACCATCGAAAGGCGTGTTTTCGTCAAGGAGCTGACTCCAAGTTTCCAGGTAGGAGCGGTTGGATGATTCGCCTTTGCCGGTAGATGATGAATCTGATGTGATCAGCATCACCATCGGCATCCCCATCGATATCGACGTTTCCGTTGCCATCGTCCTCACGATCATAGGAATCACTGATCTTCTACCTTCCAGGACATGCGTAGCTTGAGATCGGATCGATGGTCTAGAACCACCTCCAATGGCATTGTCGTATTCATTGCCAATGGCATTGACATTATCATTCCTTAGCATGCTAACATCACATTTCACGCATACCGTTTCCGTTTTCTGATGTGTGTGTGCACGCCATCCCTTTCAGGGCATGCGCGGCTCGAGATCGGATTCCACTTCTATCCCCCCAGCTTCGCCGCCTTGGTCATCCTGGCGACGGTCCTCCGTTGTAACAACACTCGCTTATGGCACACCCGTCCCTGCGTCACAAGTGAAGGTCGGAACCGGCTCGCCGTCCCCTCTGGGCCCGTCTCTAGTGGAGAAGCGCACCAAGCTAGACGGTTACAGCAGGTTGCCTGCTCGAGGAACCGTCAACTTTGCTCTCTTCTCCAAGCATGCTACAGCCGTGACCCTCTGCCTGTAAGTTGCTAGTCAGGCTACAGCGGTGACTCTTTGCCTGCTCGAGGAACCATCAACTTTGCACTTTTCTCTAAGCACGCTACAGCCAGGACCCTCTGCCTGTAAGTCTTCAGTCGCGCTACAGCCGTGAATTCCTGCGTGAAGGCCATCAATCTTTACCCCAAGGTGCCATTTCCATTCACGCTGTCACACTGTCTCTGGACCCTCACAGATTCAATTCCGTATGAGATCAGGTACCAGATTAGTCCAAGTAGGACTAATCAGTTCAGCTTCAGCCTCTCCTCCTTGCTACCCCCTCTCGTTCCCCTCACTCTTCTCCCCACAGGTTCCTGTCCGGCAAGCAGGGCTCCCCTCCTGATCTCGAGATTGCCCTGGATCCCAACAGCCAACGAACGGGCGACATCTGGCATGCTTCTCTGGAGGTGAGCAGGACTGATGGGGTGACCTGTGAATGGCTGCCTTCTCTCCCTTTTGTCGCCTTATATAAAAAAGGCCAAAACATAGCTCTGAACTAGGTTTTTACCCTTCCATTTCAGGTGTCATCGTTCAACCTTCCTTTTTTTCCCCTTTTCCCCCTGCCTCGTCTCCTCAGAACGTGCCTCTATGCGGTATGCTGTATGCTTATAAGGTGGACGGTCCAAAGGGGTGGGGAGAAGGCCACCGATTCGACCCTTCCCTGTTGCTACTAGACCCCTACGCACCCCTCGTCGATGGGAGAAGGAAATTTGGGGATGGGAGCCAACGGATGGCTCAGATGTACGGCACGTTTGACTTTGAATCTGAGCCGTTCGATTGGGGAGAGGCGGAAGCCAAGAGAAAGCCGATTCCCGAGGTAAGAAACGGGAGGGTTTCGGGGATAGGGTTTCGGGGATAGGGTTTCGGCTTCCAGGTCTAGTCTGTCCCAGTATCTGCACTGCAGCTACTATTGAGTCGACTCAAAAGTCACCTCTTTTCCAGTTGAGTTTACGCCTGTGTCTGCACTGCAGTGCGTGGGTGGGTTGAGGGTTGAGGAGCGAAAGAGATGTGCTGTGTATTGGAGAAAGAAGCTTGTGAATTTCTGGGGACAGTGGGGGATGAGTGAGATGGAGGGAGGAGGGATAGCTAGCGGCCTGGGGAAGATAGTATTCCTGCTCAGTTATAGTGGCTGTTGCCTCTATCCCTACTCCATGTTTTCCTCTCGTGTGCTCCTGTCTGTGTGACTGCAGAAAGACGTGATTATATACGAGATGAACGTGCGGGCATACACTGCAGATCCCTCTAGTGGGGTCGAGGAGGGGAGACGAGGAAGCTACTCAGCTGTCGCGGATAAGGTAGGGTGTGCAAGTCTGGAACCATTTCAATTTTTTGTTTCTGTAAGTGGTGGTAAGCGATAGTGAGACGTGCTGGTGCGTGCTGTTGTGTTGCTTCCCATGTGAACGCGTTTATGACATGACTGCATGTGCGACCATGTGTGTGTGATCCCATGGCTCACAATGTTACTGTGTTACCCCATGCCATGGCTGCAGGTGCAGCACCTGGTGCAGCTGGGCGTGAACGCGGTGGAGCTGCTGCCTATCTTTGAGTACGATGAGATGGAGTTCCAGCGGCGACCCAATCCACGCGACCACATGGTATGGTTCTTTAGACAGCCCAGGTAATGTAGAGCTGGGGTGGAAGGCAGTTGGATGGGATGGGGTGAATTGAAGGCAGCTGGGAGTGAACGTGGTGGAGCTGCTGCTGTGAACGTGAATTCCAGTGACGCCGCAACCCCCGCAATCACATGGTGGATGTCCTAGAGCCCTGAAATCAGGAAGGGCTGGGAGTGAAAGGAGATGGTGAAGCAGCTTCATGCCATCTCGTCACATCTAACCACCTTCAACCGCTTTCTACCCCTCTCTGCCACACCCCCCCAGGTGAACACGTGGGGCTACTCCACTGTCAGCTTCTTTGCCCCCATGTCCCGCTGCGCCTCTAACGCTGGTGGGCCCATGGCAGCAGCACGGGAGGTGAAGGAGATGGTGAAGTAGCTGCACGCCATAGCATCACATGTACACTAACCACCTGCAACCGCTTTCAACTCCTCTCTCCCTCTTCCCCAGGTGAACACGTGGGGCTACTCCACTGTCAACTTCTTTGCCCCCATGTCCCGCTTCGCCTCTAATGCTGGTGGGCCCGTGGCAGCAGCACGGGAGGTGAAGGAGATGGTGAAGTAGCTGCATGCAGTGGCATCACATGTACCTCTAACCACCTTCAACTCGTTTCCCTGCCACATACCCACACCGCCAACAGGTGAACACGTGGGGCTACTCCACTGTCAACTTCTTTGCCCCCATGTCTCGCTTCGCCTCTAACGCTGGTGGGCCCGTGGCAGCAGCAAGGGAGGTGAAGGAGATGGTGAAGAAGCTGCACGCAGCTGGGGTGGAGGTGATTCTTGACGTGGTATACAACCACACCAACGAGGCTGACGACACGTTTCCCTACACCACCTCCTTCCGAGGGATTGACAACAAGGTATGAGCCTGTGAGGTTGCTTCCTTCTAAGTGGCCCTGTGGTGAAGGGCACGGTAAAAAAGCTGCATGCAGCGGGGGTGAAGCGGGTGCACGCAGCAGGGGTGGAGGTGATACTGGATGTGGTATACAACCACACCAACGAGGCTGATGACACCTTTCCCTACACCACCTAGTTCCGCGGCATTGACAACAAGGTGGGATGGGAAGGAAGTCGATAGAAGCAGAGAGGGATGGAGAAGTAAAGCGGGTGAAAGTAGCAGTGATGGAGTTATAAGCGGAAATGGCAGGGCTGCTTGCCTGCCTTTGAGTCGAATAAAAATATGACTCACTACACACTGAGAGGATGGAGGGGGAAGGGGGGCAGGTGCATGCAGCGGGGATGGAGGCAAAACTGGAGATGGTAGGGCCGCCTGTCTGTCATTCCTTCACCAAAACAATGTGTCCCCACCGTCTTCCCTGCCCCACTCTCACGTCCTCTATACATACTGTATCGTCCAGCCCAACTGCTACGTGCAACAGGCGAATAATGTTGTGTGGTAGCAAAAGAGGGCTGGTTTCTCCTCTTATTCCCAACCACTGTCCCCTCCAATCCCCGTCCCCACTCTTCTTTCCCACCCCTCTTTCCCACCGCTCTTTACCACTCCTCTTTCCCACCCCTCTTTCCCACCCCTCTTTCCCACCGCTCTTTCCCATTCCTCTTTCCCACCCATCTTTCCCACCCATCTTTCCCACCACTCTTTTCCACCCATCTTTCCCACCCCTCCTTCCCAACCCTCTTTCCCACCCCTCTTTCCCACCCCTCCTGCCCACCCCTCTTTCCCACCCCTCTGTCAGACGTACTACATCGTCCAGCCCAACAGCTATGTGCAACTGGCGAACTACGCCGGGTGTGGTAACACGCTCAACTGCAACCACCCGGTGGTGATGCAGATGATCCTGGATAGCCTCAGGCACTGGGTGCAGGTGAGGCTGAGGGGAGGGGCGTACAGAGAGTAGAAGAGGGGCCATATCGGGTGGGAATGTGGGGAAGTAAGGCTGACAAGAGACTGAGAGGAGGAAGCAGTCAGGTGTGGTAACACGCTCAACTGCATCCACCCTGTGGTGATGCAGATGATCCTGGATAGCCTCCGGCACTGGGTGCAGGTGAGATGGGAGAGAGGAGGGCGAGAGAGGGGGAGAGGGGGAGAGGGAGAGGAGTGGGGGAAGGGGGGGATAGGAGGGGGAGGGGGGGTAGGGCGATGGGGCATGGCGAGTGGGATGGGGTGTGAGATGGAGACGAGACGAGGCTCAGAGGAGTGAGGAAGGGAGAGCAGGAGAGGAGGGAGAGGGAAAGACAGGGTATAACGGCTGGGATGTGATTTGAGATGGAGAAGGGCTCCATGAGCCCTGCTCGCCCCTGCTCGCCCCTGCTCGCCCCTGCTCGCCCCTGCTCACCCCTGCTCGCCCCTGCTCGCCCCTGCTCGCCCCTGCTCGCCCCTGCTCGCCCCTGCTCGCCCCTGCTCGCCCCTGCTCGCCCCTGCTCGCCTCTGCTCACCCCTGCTCGCCCCTGCTCGCCCCTGCTCGCCCCTGCTCACCCCTGCTCGCCCCTGCATAACCCTGCTCACCTCAGATCCCTTCGTTTCCCCTTCTTCCTCCTTCCCCGCTCAGGAGTACCACGTGGATGGGTTCCGCTTTGACCTCGCCAGTGTCCTGTGCCGAGGGACCGATGGAGAGCCCCTCGAAGCACCGCCTCTCATTCGGGTGAGAGAATGGGGTGGATGACTGGGGTGAGTGGTTGGAGCGAGGGAATTACCTCGTTACTTGCCCGACCTCGCCAGTGTCCTGTGCCGAGGGACCGATGGAGAGCCCCTCGAAGCGCCTCCTCTCATTCGGGTAAGGGGATGGGGTGGATGATTGAGGTGGGGTGAATGATTGGGGTGATTAGTTGGTCACATCCCGTCCTCCCTCTCGCCTTTCTCCACGTCCTGCCCGCTCCCCCTTCCCCCCCCCTTCATCCCGACCAGGCCATTGCCAAGGACAAGGTGCTGTCTTAGTGCAAGCTCATTGCAGAGCCCTGGGACTGGTGCCCGCTCCCTGTTGAGTGACCACTTTTCGCCCTGCCTCCTCTTTTCCTCTCCTTACCCTAACCTCCAGGTCATCGCCAAGGACGAGGTGCTGTCTAAGTGCAAGCCGATTGCGGAGCCCCCCTGGGACTGGTGCAGCGATGCTAGAGTTTTCCTCTCCTTCCCCTCCCCCACCAGGCCATCGCCAAGGACGAGGTGCTGTCGAAGTGCAAGCTCATCGCAGAACCATGAGACTGGTGGTGGTTCTTGCGCCCTGTAGAGTGACTCCACTTTCCGGCCTGCCTCCTGTCCTTCCCCTCCACCAGGCCATCGCCAAGGACGAGGTGCTGTCCAAGTGCAAGCTCATCGCAGAGTCATGGGACTGTGGCAGATTGTGTGGTAATGCTAGAGCGCCGTGGTTGACTCTCCTTTCACCCCTCTCCGTCCTTTCCCCCCACATCAGGCCATCGCCAAGGACGAGGTGCTGTCTAAGTGCAAGCTCATCGCAGAACCGTGGGACTGTGGAGGACTCTACCAAGTGGGCAGCTTTCCCAACTGGGACAGGTAACGCCTTCCCCGAATGGGACAGGTAGCAACTTCCGTGGATATGACAGGTAACGCCTTCCCCAACTGGTACTGTGGAGGACTCTACCAAGTCGGCAGCTTTCCCAACTGGGACAGGTAACGCCTTCCTTCGCTGGTACAGGTAATGCCTTCCTCAGCCGGGGCAGGTAACGCCTTCCTCAGCTGGGACAGGTAACGCCTTCCTTAGATAAGACAGGTAACAACATCCTCAAATAGGACTGGTAACGCCTTCCCTGGAGGACAGGAAACCCCTTCCCCACCTGCGACTGTGGGGGACTCTACCAAGTGGGCTGCTTTCCCAATTGGGACAGGTAACGCCTTCCCCAGATAGGACAGGTAACACCTTTCGTGGATACGACAGGTAACGCCTTTCCCAGCTGGGACTGTGGGGGACTCTACCAAGTCGGCAGCTTTCCCAACTGGGTTAGGTAACGCCTTCCCCAGATATGACAGGTAACGCCTTCCCCATATAGGACAGGGAACGCCTTCCCCAACTGGAACAGCTAACGCCTTCCCTGGGCAGGACAGGTAGGAAAGGAAACTCATGACATGCTGCTGGCATCAATTACCAGTTATGGATGGTAACACTCTTCCCTTTTCATCCATGCCATGCTACCGTCACCCCCCACCCCCATGCCATGCTGCCATCACCATCACCCCAGGTGGGCGGAGTGGAATGGCAAGTATCGAGATGACGTGCGCAAGTTCATAAAGGGCGATGAGGGCATGAAAGGGCCCTTCGCTACTCGATTGGCTGGATCCGCTGACATGTACCATGTAAGATGACATGTACCATGTGGATGACACGTACCATACCATCTGAGATGACATGTACCATGTGAGATGACATGTACCATGTGAGATGACATGTACCATGTGAGATGACATGTAGCATGTGAAATGGCATGTACCATGTGAGCTGACATGTGCCATGTGAGATGACATGTATTGCCATGACATGCCCTGCCATGGGATCAATTTTACTGTTTACTCTATATTACAATGTTCATGTTGCCGTCATCTCTGTACCCGGCAGAACCAAGTCCTCATACCTATCATCTCCCTATCCTGTCCCACTCCTCCCCCCCTCCGCCTAACTCACATGCACAGGTCAATCAGTGCAAGCCCTACCATAACATCAACATTGGCATCGCTCACTTGTCCCGATGACCCTCCCTCTCCTCCCTCACGTCTCGTCCCCCCTCCTGCCCGCCCACCCACGTGCGCAGGTCAATCAGCGCAAGCCCTACCACAGCATCAACTTTGTCATCGCTCACGACGGCTTCACACTCAGGGACCTAGTGTCTTACAACGTCAAGGTGAGCAGATTGAGTGGTACAGACAGAGTAGTAGTGTGTTACCTACCACAGCATCAACTTTGTCATCGCTCACGATGGATTCACACTCAGGGACCTAGTGTCTTACAACGTCAAGGTGAACACACTGAGTCGTACCGAGAGTGATAGTGTGTGCATCAGCGCAAGCCGTATCTATCGTAGCATCACCTTTGCTTTGCCGCGAGATAGCAAAAGGCTTCACACTCAGACACCTGGTGTCCTACAACGTCTAGATAAACAATCTGCATGGTACAAAAAGGGCAGCACTGTGTGCATCAGCGCAAGCCCTACCACAGCATCAACTTTGTCATCGCTCACAACGGGTTCACACTCAGGGACCTAGTGTCTTACAACGTCAAGGTAAAAGCCGAAAAAGACATTTAGTATAAGAGGACACATGTGTGTGTACGTCCGTTGTCACTCCTCTTTACTACTCTTAATTAAGCGTTGCAGTGTCCCGGTGTGTGTGTCACAAAAGACCTTTCACATCAACTTATCCTTCCGTTGTAGTCCCCTTTTTCCTTGCCCTTGCCCTTACACACACATGCCCTTCACCTTTCCCCCCTCTTCCCCGCCCCTTTCCCTTGTTCGCTCATGTTTTCTGCCTTTCCCCTTCCTTCTCCTCCGCTTTGTTCTTTTCATTGCTGTCCAATCTCATACACTCGACTTCTTTCTCCTCTCCTTGCTCCCTCTCTCCCTTCTCCCTCCTTCGCTCCCATCCCCCATCCTTTCCCTCCTTTCCACCCTCCCTCGCTCCCCCCAACTCCTTTCTCTCCTTCCCTGCCCTCCCCCCTTTTCCTTCCTTCCAACCCCTCCCTCTCCCCCTCTCCCTTCCTCCCCGGCAGCACAACGAGGCGAATGGGGAGGAGGGGAGGGATGGCAGCAACGACAACTTCAGCTGGAACTGCGGAGTGGAAGGTGGGGAGGAGCTGTGTGGTTGGGGGGGTGGGATGGAGAGGTGGGTTGGCGGTGGGGTGGGGAGGTGGAGAACTGTTGGGTGGAATGTGGGGAGGCGGGGAGGGGGGGAGGTGGGGAACTGCGGGTGGCGGGAAGGTGGGGAAGTACATCGGACACCGTGTGTCACCCCTCTGCAGTAGGATCCTAGTATCACCGTGCAGTAGGATCCTAGTATCACCGTGCAGTAGGATCCTAGTATCACCGTGCAGTAGGATCCTAGTATCACCGTGCAGTAGGATCCTAGTATCACCGTGCAGTAGGATCCTAGTATCACCGTGCAGTAGGATCCTAGTATCACCGTGCAGTAGGATCCTAGTATCACCGTGCAGTAGGATCCTAGTATCACCGTGCAGTAGGATCCTAGTATCACCGTGCAGTAGGATCCTAGTATCACCGTGCAGTAGGATCCTAGTATCACCGTGCAGTAGGATCCTAGTATCACCGTGCAGTAGGATCCTAGTATCACCGTGCAGTAGGATCCTAGTATCACCGTGCAGTAGGATCCTAGTATCACCGTGCAGTAGGATCCTAGTATCACCGTACAGTAGGATCCTAGTATCACCGTGCAGTAGGATCCTAGTATCACCGTACAGTAGGATCCTAGTATCACCGTACAGTAGGATCCTAGTATCACCGTGCAGTAGGATCCTAGTATCACCGTGCAGTAGGATCCTAGTATCACCGTGCAGTAGGATCCTAGTATCACCGTACAGTAGGATCCTAGTATCACCGTGCAGTAGGATCCTAGTATCACCGTGCAGTAGGATCCTAGTATCACCGTGCTATTCTCTGCTCTAAACTCCTAGTATTATCACCCTTATCCAACTCCTCGTCTCACCCTTATCCAACTCCTCGTCTCACCCTTATCCAACTCCTCGTGTCTCCTTCCAACCCCCTCCAGGTGCCACGCAGGACGAGGGGGTCATTGCGCTGAGAAACCGGCAAATGAGGAACTTCCACATCGCGCTGATGATCTCCCAGGTGCGTGCATGTCTGTGCGACTCAACATACCCTGCACCCTGCACCCTGCACCCTGCACCCTGCACCCTGCACCCTGCACCCTGCACCCTGCACCCTGCACCCTGCACCCTGCACCCTGCACCCTGCACCCTGCACCCTTCATCATGTATCCTGCACCCTGCACCCTGCACCCTGCACCCTGCAACCTTCGTCATGTATCCTGTACTCTGTGCCATATCCTCGTGCCATATCCTCGTGCCATATCCTCGTGCCATATCCTCGTGCCATATCCTCGTGCCCACGATGGGGGATGAGTACGGGCACACGCGCATGATCACATGCTGTGAATAATACAGTACAGTCTGCCACCACCCCTGTGCCCTGTGCCCTGCCCTGCACCCTGTGCCCTGCCCTGCACCCTGCACCCTGCACCCTGCACCCTGTGCCCTGTGCCCTGCCCTGCACCATGTGCCTTGTACCACATGCGCATGCACACATGGAGCAGGGCACGCCCAGGGTGCTGATGGGGGATGGGTACGGGCACACATGGATGCTCATGGGGGATGGGTATGGGCACACATGGATGCTCATGGGGGATGGGTATGGGCACACATGGATTTGCATATGCGATATGTAGTACAGGTATGCGATATGTAGTACAGGTTCAACGTGCCACTACCCTTGCGCCCTGTCCCTTTATCCCACACACATATGGATGCACACATGTCACAGGGAACGCCCATGATGCTGATGGGGGATGAGTACGGGCACACACGCAACGGCAACAACAATAGCTACGGCCATGACACCGCACTCAACCACTTCCTCTGGAACCAGGTGATTATGGCACGTTGTGAGTGAACATGCTCTCTGTGACTAAATGACTTTGTGATTATCACCCTTCAAGCCTTGCCACCTGCAGTAGCTGTGGCCATGACTGTTCTCACTGTTCTTTTTTTTTTTAGTCTGGTTTTTTTTCTCTCATTTTTTTGGGTTATTCTCCCTGAAACCAGGGGAGCTTTCCTCACAACTGGGTAGACATACGTCATACCCTTTTATGTATACACCACTAAATGGCTCATTACATTTGATAGGCTAATTCCCTGTTCCCCCCTTACTGTCCCCATCTGTTGTTTCCTGCTCTATCCATCCACTCCCCTGTCTTCTCTCACCCAGTTGGACCAGGCCCGCTCCTCTCTCTTCCGCTTCACAGCAGCAGTCAACCGCCTTCGCTCCTGGCACCCAGCCCTTGGCCAAGCCAACTTCCTCTCGCCTGTAATCCCTCTAATTCCTCACAGCTGCAATAGACGGCATTCTAGGATTCAGATATGGGGTACTGAGCTGGCTTTTGAGATGACTGATTTCCCATTTCTCACCCTCGTTTCCACCTGCGTATTCTGTTACGTTCCCCGTAGCCCATTAAGTTTACTGTATGTGTTTGGCATGTTTCCAGCGGGACATCACATGGCATGAAGACAACTGGGATAACTACGAAAGCAGATTCCTTGCCTTCAGGTGAGTCGACCTTCAGAAAATTGTTGTAATGTCTCGAATGGTCCGATCTATTAAAAAGACTGCAGTACTAGGGTAACTCCATCTTTTCTTTCTTCTTATTTATGAATGTGTGTTGTGTCAAATGTTGCAGCTTGCATGACGTCTCAGGGACGTGTGGTGACCTGTATGTGGCGTTCAACGCTCATTCCTTCGCTGTGGATGCTGGCCTACCTCCCCCGCCCGCTGGTCGCCAATGGGTTCGTTTGGTGAGTACACTTCAATTCGCCACTACAACATTGTTCTGCTTGTTGAAACTCACTTCGAATTTGAACACAACGGCCTAAGGTACTCCCTCAGTATATTTCAGAACTATGGACACACAGTAACATCATTTTTGCCTTTGTCTCTCCTGTTGCTGGTGGTGAACAGGTTGACACCAACTTGCCGTCTCCACGGGACATTGTGGATGATCTCGAAACGATTGCAACCAATGGTCGTGTAATCAGCGGCACATACAATGTTGCGCCACAATCATCCCTTGTCCTCCTAGCTACGAAGGCATGATAGTATAGTTTATGATGAATGTTTAGAACTTGGGGAACAACGCGCTTTGACGAGGCCTAAAACTGAAGCCGAATGTAAAGCGAATGAGCGTGAAGCCGAGAAATCGACGGCAACGATTGGACGAGCCTTATTCCGCTCTAAGACTCGAGCAGAACCGTTCATCTCACCCTCTCGATGGCGGCCACTGCGCCCCAGGTATTCGAGAAACACCCTTGGGATTTGCCACACCTCCAAAATTCCGGGAAAAAAGCCCGCGAAAAGTTCATCCAACCTCGAGGCCCCGAGGACTGGTGTGGTCTCTGTAAAACAGCCACAAGAGCAGACGGTATGTAGGTAGAGGATCACAAGGTTATTAGTTTAGCCAAGGTAATTAATTTACCGCTTGTCTGGTCTACTGGGCGTAAGGTAAGGAGGAGGTATGATCTAGGTTTACGGATCCGTCTCTTTTTGGCGAACCCGCGCCAAACCAGGCCATCAGGCTGCGCACTTCACTATCGCATCATACCGCGCAGTTCCCGCTAACGACTGTCGATATTTTCAATGCTCGATCCTCGGGTGCTCGAACTTAGAGTATCACCGCGTCTTACCTGCCAAGAGCTCAGAGGCCGTGCCTGACGTGAGGGAGTTGGCGATCTTTCCTTGCAGCTTCCTCGATTCAAGTTCCCTGTGGCTGACCGGTGGCAAGCAGTGGCGCTAGCACGCCTCTAAAAGGATATAAAGGTTATAGAACGAGGCTCAAGAAAGAGTTTCTAGAAGCCTCTTACACGGCAGCCGCAGTACCCACCAGATCCGTGTCGGCAAGAGGCCGTTTTTTTCAAGCGACACGACACAAGGCTTTTTTTCTTTCAGGCCGTTAGGCATCACGTTTCGCGATGCGGGGGAAAAGCGTTTACAATGCTCTCTGTTTTGCTGCTGTTAGTGCTACTCGAGGGGCCAAACACGCTGTGGATCGGAGGAGCGTCTATAACGGAACAATACACAAACGCTTGTAACGGAAGTTTACGGAACGTCTACAACGGGACAATACAGAACGTCTGTCGCACATTCTTTACTGTTGCGAAAGCTCCCCATTCCTCGACAGCCTTCACGCGCGGCGCTTGTCAGGCTGGCAAGGTGAACATATATGGCACTTGTTCGTCGATCGAGATCGTAGGCGGCGTCGCAGCTAGGCGGTTCTTTAGTTCCACCACCGCCGCGACTCACGCCGGCAACGCTGCTGCATCTCACGGGGCAAAAGCACAAGTAAATGGCAGATCGAATCGTCCGTCAGTTACTTTTCGGTTGACACGTGGCGTGGCTGGATTGGGCATCGTGGGTGCTCTGGGATGGGTTGCAATGGGGGAGGATCCATTGCTCCGTTTAAAGCTTCTCGTTACAGTCCCAGTGCGCGTCGGAAGGGTGGTTACCACAGTGCTCGCCATGGTTGCTGGTACGACTTCCCACCCAACCAGCCTTTGCTCCCATAATCGCTTTAGCTAAACACTTCATTGAAACCGTTCTAATAAGCACTGTAGCAATGCAGGGTGTTTAGCCGAATCTGATCAACTGGTAACCTTTTTTTTTGTCCGCTGTTTCCTCAGACTACAAGACTTCTCTTCGCGGGCTGCCCGCGGGAAGCGAGGAAATGGAGTCGGAGAAGCGGCAGTGCCACCTGCGCTGTGCGGATCGGCTGCAATCGATGTGCTTCAGAAACGGGGGGATCTACATCAAGCTAGGACAGCACATTGCTCAGTTGGTGGGTTGGATTGCCGAACGGGTGTGCTTATGAAGAGTGTGCCAATGAAGGGTGTCGATGGTACAGGTTAACAAAGGGATTGGCTGCAGGCATTGTGCTTCAGAAACGGAGGGATCTACATCAAGCTAGGGCAGCACATTGCCCAACTGGTGGGTTGCATTGGGGTGCATTGCCGAACTGGTGTGCTTCTGAAGGGTGTTTATGGTACGGGTTAACAAAGGGGTCGGCTGCAGGCCATGTGTTTCAAAAACGGAGGGATCTACATCAAGCTAGGACAGCACATTTCTCAGCTGGTGGGTGTGATTGGGTTCCACAATGAAGGGTGTGGCAATGAAGGGTGTCGTGAACTTACTCGATATGAGTAAATATGGAGAAGACACTATTGAAGCTGGAGTCTCAGTTGGTTGAAATATAACTCGAGCTAGTGAGTGAAAGGAAAACGTATCATTTAAGGATGAGGAAAATACCAAGTTGAGAAGGATGCTCAAAGAGAATGAGAATGAATTGACGGCAAAGGAGCGGGAGGATCGGAGGAGGAAGGAGAAGGAGTTGGTGCAGAGGAACGAGAAACCTTACGCGGCGTGGCAGGTGGATAAGGAGGGATTTGCCTGCCACGCCGCCGTAAGGTTCTCATTCCTCTACACCAACTCCTTCTCCTTCCTCCTCCATTCCTCCCGCTCATTTGTCGTCAAATCCTTCTCATTCTCTTTGAGCATCCTTCTCAACTTGGTAATCCAGCTGCAATAACGTCCTCTTCTATTTACTCGTATTGAGTAAGTTCACGACAGCTCAACGAAGAGAATGAATAGGTTTCGGACGGAGAGAAAGAGTTCAGGACAGAACAACTATGGAGTGCTGTGTTACCTCGTATTGGTTTTCACTCTCACAACTTTCCAGATTCGCGCGCGCTAGGTTAGCGTTCTGCGGACAGAAAACCGGGAGCGGCGAATGTGCCGGCGAAAAAAATATGTATGCGTATATATACGTTTTTCTGCTCTCTTTTGGTAATTTCAGGACTACATCGTGCCGGAGGAGTATGTGACTGTAATGAAGGAGTCAATGCTCAACACGTGCCCTGTCACCCCATACGAGGACGTTCGGCTCGTCATCCAATCAGAGCTCGGCAAACCTCCAGAGGAGGTACGGTGGGAGAGGTAGGTAGGTACGGTGAATACGACCATTTTTGGAAGGTATGGTGGAAGTTGGAAAAGTCGTACGGTGGACGAGGGACGGGAGAGTGTGGTTTCGTGGAAGAGGGACGGGTCAGGAGAGAGAAGGTGGTATGGTTAAGGGGAAGAAGTAGGTCGGACTTCCCTGCCGTCGAGTTCGCATCCAACCTTCCGTTGATCCTTCATCCCTCCATCCCTCCTTAACCCCTACCTTTCCCCCACTCTCATCCTACCTTCCTCCCACACCCCTTTTTCGCGAGTCCTATCCTCCTTTCCGCCTCCCTATACCCGGATCTTCTCCTACTTCGACCCCACGCCTGTGACATGCGCGTCCCTGGCTCAAGTGCCGCTTCCTCCCCCCCGCCCCTCTTGTCGTATCCTCGTATTCTCCTTTCCCTCCACCCCCCACCGTCAGATCTTCTCCTCCTTCGACCCCGTGCCTGTGGCGAGTTCCTCTTTGGCTCAATCACCTTTCTCTCTGCCCCCCTTGCCCTTCTCCTCCTCGTATTCTCCTTTCCCCGCAACCCCCACCGTCAGATCTTCTCCTCCTTCAACCCTGTGCCTGTGGCGAGCGCATCACTGGCCTAAGTGCACCCCCTTCCTCCCTCTCCAGGACGCCCCCCTTTCTTCTCCTATTATTCTCTTTCTCTCCCCCCCAACCCCCACCGTCAGATCTTCTCCTCCTTCGACCCTGTGCCTGTGGCGAGCGCATCACTGGCCCAAGTGCATCGAGGAACGCTGAAATCAGGGGAGGACGTGGCAGTCAAGGTGAGCTGCAAGCCGAGGTGAGCTGCAAGTCAAGGTGAGCTGCAAGTCAAGGTGAGCTGCAAGTCAAGGTGAGCTGCAAGTCAAGGTGAGCTGCAAGTCAAGGTGAGCTGCAAGTCAAGGTGAGCTGCAAGTCAAGGTGAGCTGCAAGTCAAGGTGAGCTGCAAGTCAAGGTGAGCTGCAAGCCGAGGAGAGTAATGTGTTGCATAAATCCTCGCAAGCTCAAGTGCATCAAGGCATGCTGAAATCAGGGGAGGACGTGGCAGTGAAGGTGAGCTTCGAGTTGAGTGATGGGTGATGAGGCTCCTGGAGTCATTCCCTCAACTCTGATTCACTCATTCACTCTGACTCAATGGCATTTTAGCACCAACCGATGCATGCTTTTAGAGTGAAATTTCATCCCGACATGGCAGCATGGTTTTTGTTGAGGCCCCATCCCTTCCTTCCCCAGAATCCACGCACCCATTCCCAACCCACGTCTCCCACCACTCCCCACCCGTCCTCACCCTTCCCCATCCCATTCGACCCGGTCCCACCAGGTGCAGCACGCACATCTGCTTGACATGGCAGCAGCAGACATAGTGTCGATCAAGACCCTCAACGCCCCTCACCACCCCTCGTCACCCCTCCCCACTCATCCCCACCAGGTGCAGCACGCACATCTGCTTGACATGGTAGCAGCAGACATGGTCTCAGTCGAAACCCCATTCCTTCTCAATAGCCCACCAACCCCTCCCCACCCCTTCCCATCCCATCCCACTTCACCAGGTGCAGCACGCACATCTGCTGGACACGGCAGCAGCAGACATGGTCTCAGTGCGCCTTGTCATCTCCGCACTCTACTGGTTCTTCCCGAGCCTAGACTACAGGTATGGGCAAGAGGTATAAGAAACCCGGGACCTCTCATAACTCCCCCGCCCATCGCCCTGGCCCACGCACACGCACAGCCACTCCTAGGCTGCGTGCTCGATGTGTGTATGTGCTTGTTTGCTTACACATCTCAAGATTAGTGCTATCTGCATGCTTTACTCTGGATTTAGAACTTGAAATCTCCTATCGTTACAACAGATTTTTAAATTGTAATGCCCAATCCCCCCACCCCGTCGTCTGCCTTGCCTGCATGTCAGGTGGCTGATCACAGAGGTTGAGGAGAGCTTACCCAAGGTATGCCTTAAGAAGTGCCCAAAAGGTCAATTCAACCGCTCAACACACCTAGAAAGCGATAAGCCATCCGCTTTTTCCTTCACCATCTGCTTGATATTGGCCTTGAAGCATCCAGGGGTCAGCATTGCATTGCATCGTGTCTCTGACCTTTTGCCTCGTTCTTCCCCCTTGTGTAGTGAGTCGATTTTTGAGTGTAGAAGACCAGTTGCATCGTGTCTCTGACCTTTTGCCTCGTTCTTCCCCCTTCCTGCAGGCCTCTCATATCCCCTCCCTTCCCTTCCACCTCTTACCCACTACAGGAGCTAGACTTCATCCTCGAAGCATCCAACGGTCGGCATTGCATGGCCAACTTTCGATCCTCGCCGTCCAAGCTCCTGAGGGAGTCCGTGGCGGTGCCGAGAAGCTTCCCAGAACTTACCGGGCAGCGAGTGCTGACAATGGAGTGGATGGAAGGCGTGCCTCTGACTGACGTGGCAAGGCTCAAGGACATGAAGATAAACCCTGCTGACGTGGCAAAACTGGTGAGTTCCCCATTTTTTTGCTCGTTTCTTGTATTCTCTCTGCCTTGATGTTCGTGCTGGTATACTTCAAGCCAGCTTGAGTATCCTCTCGTAGGTCCCATTTCTAGTTTTTTTCTCAGTCCCCAGCCCTGCTTCTCCTTCTCCACCCAATCCATCCAGATCAGCACTGCTTTCGCTGAAATGATTTTCCGGCACGGATTTGTGCACTGCGATCCCCATGCGGCTAATGTGCTGGTGCGGCCGAAGAGAGGAGGGCGGCGAATGCCCGGTGGTGAGTGCTGCCCTGTCGCGTCCCAGGGGGTTAGGGATTAGGGATTAGAAACCTGCCTGCTACAATGTTTAGGGACTTCAGGACGGCGCTTGTGCTGGCATGATGCCGTTGTGCTGGCCGATGCTTGAGCTGGCCGATGCTTGAGCTGGCCGATGCTTGAGCTGGCGGATGCTTGAGCTGGCCGATGCTTGAGCTGGCCGATGCTTGAGCTGGCCGATGCTTGAGCTGGCCGATGCTGCGCAATGCTGCACAGCACAGCATTGCGCTGGGCGCCGGGGAGGACCTGTATGCCATCTTTTCTGCCCCTGCTCTCTCTTCCCTCCCGTCTCTCCAGGCTATTCAGAACCAGAGATTGTGCTTCTCGACCATGGGCTGTGCCGCCAGCTGTCCGATACCCTCCGCCTCAACTACGCGCAACTGGACCATTTCCTTCCCTTCCATGCATTCACCCTTCCACCACTCCCTCCCGTCAGGCTATGTAGAGCCAGAGATCGTACTGCTGGATCACGGGTTATACCGCCAGCTGTCCGATTCCCTCCGCCTCAACTACGCGCACCTCTGGAAGGCCCTTGTTCTGGCCGACGCGCGAGGCATCATGGAGTATAGCATTGCGCTGGGCGCCGGGGCGGACTTGTATGCCATCTTTGCTGCGACGCTCACTCTGCGATCGTGGGAGAACATCGTTGAGGCGTCTTCGGACCACCTGTTTATCCCAGACACGGCCGAAGAGAAGCAGCAGCTGCAGGTGAGGAGGGAGAGGGTGGGGAGGGTGGAGAGGGGTTTATTTAGCACAGCATTGCGCTGGGCGCCGGGGCGGACCTGTATGCGATCTTTGCTGCGACGCTCACTCTGCGATCGTGGGAGAACATCGTTGAGGCTTCTTCGGACCATTTGTTTATCCCAGACACGGCCGAGGAGAAGCAGCAGCTGCAGGTGAGGGAAAGGAGAGGGTTGAGGGGGTTGGTGGTGTGGGGAGGAGTGAGGGTGTGTTGGAGTTGATTTCTCGACTCATTCGACTCCCCACCCTTCCTTCCTACCTGTTTCTGCCTTTCGCTCCCCTCTCATCTTCCTCCCCTCCTTTACCCCTCCAGAGGTCAGCAGCCGCCTACTTCAACGACATAACGCGCCTCCTCGCACGCTTGCCCCGTGTGCTGCTGCTGCTGCTCAAGACCAACGACTGCCTTCGCTCTTTGGATACTGCCCTGGTGAGAATTTTCCTTTATTTCTCACTACAGTGTTTCCCTTCACTTGACTGTCATGCTTGCCCCGTGTGCTGCTGCTGCTCCTCAAAACCAGTGACTGCCTGCGGTCCTTGGATACTGCCCTGGTGAGATTCCTGTTTTGGTCATTAGTGTTTTCCCTCACTTGACTGTCACGCTTGCCCCGTGTGCTGCTGCTGCTCCTCAAAACCAATGACTGTCTTCGGTCCCTGGATACGGCCTTGGTGAGAAGCTTCTTTTGCTCAGTTACAAAGTTTTCCTTCACTTGACTTTCACGCATGCCCCTTGACACTGCTCTGTTGAGGACTCACGCACGCATTTCTGTCGTACTGGTGCTGTTGCTCAGAACCAATGGTGGCTGGTGCAGGTTTTGTTTTTTTGCCTGCTATTTGTCAGAACCGGACCATTACATCTGTGGTTTTCTCTCCCTTTCTCTCGCTCTCTCCTCTGATGCACTGCTAAGCCTCTTGTCTCTCGCTGCTCCCTGTGTTCTCCCTTGGAATACATCACTTGCAGGGCACACCAGTCAACACATTTATGATCACCGCACGTGAATGCACAGAGGCAATCGCAGAAGCAGACGAGAAGGCTCTAATTTCTAAGGCTCCGAACTCATTGGCACTTCGGTGGAAAGCGTATGTGCACAAAAGGCTGCAAATAGCACAGGTGGAGATGCAATTATTGAAACTGGAAGCAGCGGTTTGGCTTGCTCACCTTGCCGTGTGGGCCAAGGGATTTGCGCAGAGGTGGAAATGGTGGAAGAAGGGGGTATTGCCTAAAAAGAATGGCGAATTATTGCAACTTGCCCCATCATAGTGGTCTGATAATTATATGGTTCGACTTTATACGGTGATTATCAAGCAATGAGAGGTGGTGCACCTGCTCATACAGAGTCTGATTATTTCAGGTTTAAATCAGCGGAGCGTGTAGTAACGAGTTCTACAGTGTACCATTTGAAGGTATCCCTGCAGAGCTGATTTGGTCCATACAGATTTCTCTAGGGCCCGCAACCAGAGTCAGCCGGGCGGACAGAATCCGTCAGTTTTGCTCCTCTCATTCCCTAGCGTTGTCAGTGCGTAGTGTAGTGCGTGAATCCGTTGCGCTAGCGTCTCCTGCGGAACAGGTATCAATCCCTCCGGACCGCTCCTCACCGCACCTTACCGCATTGTCATTGTCTCGCCGCTTCCGCGCGGTTCAGCCACTTGGATCTGGTAAAATGGAGCGGTACGACGTGGTGGTGGTGGGTGCGGGCATCATGGGCAGCTGCGCCGCGTACGAGCTCGCGAAGCGCGGGCGGTCCGTGCTGCTATTGGAGCAGTTTGATTTGCTGCACCGCCGAGGTGAGTGGAGAAAGGGTGCTGTCAATCGCTCAGCACCGCACATAACCGCATTGGCGCATCTCACCACGCCTTACCGCACCTCACCGCATGATGGGCAGCTGCGCGCCGTACGAGCTCGCGAAACGCGGGATGACGGTGTTGCTGCTGGAGCAGTTCGACCTGCTGCACCGCCGAGGTCAGAGGTGCTAGAGGAGTTATCGAATCGGCTTTAAACGAGACTTTTGACACCGGACAAGGGCGGTCCGTGCTGCTATTGGAGCAGTTCGACCTGCTGCACCGCCGAGGTGAGAAAGAAAGATACTGGTGTTATCGAGTGCACTTTAAACGAGGATTTGACGCCTGATCATGACCGGGCTGACAGTGCTGTTGCTGGAGCAGTTCGACCTGCTGCACCGACGAGTTGAGAGACATAAAGCGATCTCCTAGAGCTGTTACCGCATCAGCTCTTAACGAGGAGGGGACTGCTGCTCGAGCAGTTCGACTGCACCGTCTAACAGTCCGAGGAAGGGAGGAGGGGAGAACCTTCCTTCCTCCCTTCCTCCCCTCCTCCTCCTCTCCCTCTGTAGATTCGTCTCAATACGTCCCTCCCCTGCCTCCTCTGATCTCCAGGCTCTTCCCTCGGGGAGCCTCAGATTATCAAGAAATCTTAAATCTTACCCTGAAGACCATCTCACGGCGCTCTTACACTCCTCATTCACCCTTGCTTCCTTCTCCTCTGATATCAGCAGGCTCTTCGCACGTGGAGTCACGAATTATCAGAAGAACTTACCCGTAAAATTGCAACACAGGCTCATGCACCCACTCTCATCCCCCCTTACTTCCTTTTCCTCAAATCTCCAGGCTCTTCGCATGGGGAGTCTCGAATTATCAGGAGAACTTACCCTGAAGACCACTACACCGCGCTCATGCCGCTCGCTTATAACCTATGGGAGTCTGCTTCTAACGAGGCTGGATATTCCCCCCTTACCATCACCGGCGGCTTGGATTTCGGCCCCCGCAGCAACGCTGACCTGGCAGCCGTTCTTGCCAGCTGTCGCAACCACAGCGTGCCACATCAGCTTCTGGAAGGAGCTGCATTGAGAGAGAAGTTTCCAATGTTCGACTTTCCGGATGGTTCTTCTGACGAAGATAAGCTGGTCGGTGTGTTTTGTCCTGATGCGGGGGTGCTGCATGCGACAAAAGCGGTGGCGATGTTCCAACAGCTGGCGGCGAAGCACGGGGCGACACTACAAGACAAAATGACGGTTACTGCCATCGAGCCACTACAGGATAAAGAATCAGCAGCAGGGATGGCAAATTCTGGTCGGATTCGTGTGGTAACCAGCAGAGGCAGCGTTACATGTAATGACTGTGTTGTGGCAGCAGGGGCATGGGCGGGAAAGTTAATAGAAAGAGCAACTGGGAGGAAGCTTCCTCTGCAGGCACTAAGAACCACCGTGGCTTATTGGCGGGTTGGTGGGGAGGGAGGTGCAGATGCTGATTGTGCTCCTGCTGCTGCTGCTGATGCAGGCAGTGCTGCTACTGCTGATACTGCTGGTGTTGGTGCTGATAGTGCTGCTGCTGCTGCTGCTGATTCTTATGGTACTAGTAGCAGCACAGCCATTCCTCTATTTATCAACTATGACGAACCATACGTGTACGGCATTCCGAGCCTGGAGTTCCCGGACCTGGTTAAGGTCTCCCTCCATTCCGGCCTGCCCTGCCCCGAACCTGACAACCGACCCTCCCTCCCGGACGTGCATGCGGTCCGGACTGTGCTGGTGCCATGGCTGCAGGCCAGGTTCGGGAATAGGGTTACCACCGAGCCTGTGATGATGGAATCGTGCCTCTATACCATGACCCCGGACCAAGATTTCATAATCGATCGCATCCCATTGGCTACAGGAGAAGAAGAAGAAGCAGTAAGCAGGGCTAGCAGTAATGGAAGGGAGGGGATTTTTGGGGAGGGAATGCAAGGAGACGGGTCTCAAGAATATTGCGAAGAGACTGGAGGAGTGAATATTGTGGTAGCAGCAGGGTTTTCGGGGCATGGGTTTAAATTCGGTCCACTGGTTGGCAAAATTGCAGCGGATTTGGTGACTGGGTGTGCTGATGGGAGCAGTGGTGTTGATGGTACCAGTATAAGTGAGGTGAGTGGTGGCGTGAGGGACGCGCTTGAATTGGTGAAGTGTGGAAAGGTTCTGCCGCTGTTCTCCCACAAGAGGTTCTTGGATGGAGGAGAAGGAAATTTGAAGGCCTGTGGGCCACAGGTCAGGCCTGTGGGGGATGGCTTGTAATTTGTTTTTGCCCTTTTCCCCACAGACATGTGGGAGATGGGTTGCAGAGAGCTGTTGGAAGCAACCAATCCGAGCTCAAAGACTTAAAGAGGAAGGAAAATGAACAGAATGTGAATGGCGCGAGTCACATGTCAGGCCAAAATGGCAATGCAGGACATGAAGGGGAAATGATGCTTGCGAGATCCTGGTAGTTTGGGGATGAGGCGTCTTGTAGTTACATGCCACAATTTGTGCAATTGTGTATATATTTGGTATAGTATTTCGAGGATACCGTGTAACGCGCTCAGCAGGGTTTGGTTTGGTCTGGAACCAATCTCCACACAGTTCAAGTCCGTCTCCCCGACACGAACGCGTAAATTTGGGACATCTGGTTTGTTGACAGAGCGAGAGGACTCCACGCCAGCAATGAACGAACTTCGAGATTTTTCAGGACCGAACTGATTTTATGCCACGTGACCTCATGAAGTATGGACCTTGCCCGAGCTGCAACCACACATTGCGAGCATGGCGGACCCGGCCAGACTAGGAGCGTGAACATCCAATTGCCTTCACGCTCGGTACGTACACAGTTGCTAAAATATTCGCTATCCTTGGAACACAGTGCGGTACAGTGACCGCGGTCATCAGGAAGAATCGGGATCCAATTTCCTTGGGCCGACTTTCGCCACAACCACAAAAAAATCCCGGGTTTTGAGTTGATCACGCACTGGTACTGTACTTATTCGCTCTCAGCGCAGCTACAGCGCTTCTGGCGCACTGTTACTGCCCAGTTTTCGCTTTGAGCGCAGAAACAATGCTATTTCAACGCAGTTTTGATTTCATTGGTCGACACATGGCACATAACAATTTTATTCATGCTTTTAATGGTAGATAAATAAACACCCCATTCAAAAGGGTATCAACTATAAACACCTTCCGAATGGTGTTTAGGGTTGATGCTCTATCGAAGGCACGCCATCGAAAAAAATATACTCGTTGGGAAGGGCATCAACCCTAAACACCTTGCCGCCTGGTGTTTAGGGTTGATGCCTCCCTCGAAAAATATGCCACCCGATAGGGTTTTATATTTGTTATGCCCGAAATATTAGCGTTTGACGGTTCGGTGGCCGTCAATCCAAGCAGAGTTGTCGGCCCGTCAATTTTGTGACCAATGAAAGAAAACTGCGTTGAAATCGCAATAACTCTGCGCTGTAAGCGAATTCTTGGCAGTAACAGTGTGCCCAAAGCGCTGTAGCTACGCGGGGAGCGAATAAGTTCAGTAACAGTGCGCGTTCAACTAAAAACCCAAAAATCCCCCTTCTTTGCACAACACAACAAATGACAACAAAGAATTGCGATCTTTGTGTACAGTACAACAAGGCAACAAGGGTCAGGCTTGGTTTGGCTCGGATGGATGAAGGCAACAGGGATCAGGCTAGACAACCTCGATGATGCGCGTCTTTCCTGGAGGTCAATTACATTTGGATCTTGTGACTGTGTGATGTGAAGTCATTCTTGTTATTTGCTGTGTGATGCACTCCGCTGTTTCATGGTTCTCGGTCTCTTGCCACGTAATCGAGTTGCCCGTCGAATTCTTGTGGATTGAAGTGCACCCGAGTGCCTCATAATTTCTAGTTTTATTTCGTAAGAGTCTCTTCCGTCGTGTCGCGAGTGGTCGTATAAGAACGCGTTTTCCAAGATGAGTAGAGGCGTAGGTCAAGGCGGTTTTCCGAACCCTAGTCAGGACCCGTTCGGCGGGATGGGCTTTGGATTCGGTCCAAGCCTTTTCAACGATCCGGTATTCGCAGACCCCTTTTTCACGGATCCTTTCGGGTCCATGTTTGGTCGTCAAGGCGGGATAGCTGGACGCGGAATTCCCGGCGGAATTTTCGGCGGGGAATTTGGAGCGTTCGGGTCGATGTTCCCGCAAGCACCGATGCTGCCGCCCGCTTCGCCGTTCGGATTCGACGACCATGTGAGGATAGGCGGATGGGATGTTGTGAGGACGAACATGTGAGGAAAACGGATGGGATGCTTCTATGAGAGGCATCAGACCTTTGCTACTCGAACAGCTTATTTTTTTAACACATATATAATTGTTTCTTGTTCCCTTGATTCTCATTCGTGTTGTTTCCTGTTTATGTGCAGCATCAGCGTCAGCATCAGGAGCATCATAACAGGCACCTTCAGCAGCAGCAGCAGCAACAGCAACAGCAGCAGCAGCAGCAGCAGCAGCAGCAGCAGCAACAGCAACAACAGCAGCAGCGACAGCAGCAGAGGCAACGTCACCAGCAGCAGCACGTATCTGCACCGGCCATTCAAGAAGTTCACGATGACGACGAAACCGGGTTACCACATGGTTACCACAGCACCAGCAGCAGGGGAGCGAAACCGTCCGATTCTCGCGAAACCGGCGGCGAACGAGCAGGGCGAAGGAGCCGAGCTTATATCGCGAAAGAGCCTATAGTGGAGCTTCCAGACGACGAGGAAGAGGAGGAGCAGGACGGGAAGAGGAGGCGAGAAGCTGAGGAGGAGGAAGTGGAGTTAGAAGTGGGAAACGCGGAGAGCTTAGCGTATGAGCGGGAGCAGTATCCGCAGGGAAGGAGGGCTGCTTATCAGACCTCGGCTTATCAGCAGCAGCAGAGGAGCTCTAGGAGGGAGCAGGGGCGAGGCCCGCAGCAGCAAGGTAATCTGCTGGTTATGGTGTTATGACTGTTATTATATTGTTAATAGCGTTACCAGTGGTACTACCTGCTCTTTCAATCAGTGCCCCCCTTCTGTTACTGTCGCTTCCACTTCGTTCACCAAACCAGACTACTTTTGAGGCGCCTCAAAAGTTGGCCACTTCATTTACCAAACCAGACGTTGCTCGGAATCAATTTTTTTTTGTTTTCGAGTTCTCCCCCCCTTCCCCCCCCCCCCGCACCTCTCTCCCCCTCCCTCCCCTCGTCCTCTCGGCTGCCTCCTTTTCTTTCCGTTTCTTCCCTTCACAGCCGCGCCAAATCACGCCCACGAAACGCGTGTCACCTCATCGTCGCCCTTCAACGCGCTCAGCCTCTTCGGTGGCGGATTAGGCGGCGGATTAGGCGGCGGATTTGGCGCTGGTTTCGGTGGCGCGCTGGCGGGGCTTGGGGGAGCAGCAGGGGGCGGCTCGTCCTACTCCTTCCAGAGCTCAACGGTTACCTACTCGGGGATTGGCGGGCAGACGTATTACTCCGAATCGTCCTCCCATCAGATCGCTGCCAACGGGGTGAGTACTGAGTGGTTCTGTCCAAGCTGTGTATCTGTTGGTTTGGCAGTGGGTTTGGTGGTGGGCTTGGTGGTGGGTTTGGTGGTGGGTTTGGTGGTGGGTTTGGTGGTGGGTTTGGTGGTGGGTTTGGTGGTGGGTTTGGTGGTGGGTTTGGCAGTGGGTTTGGTGGTGGGTTCGGTGGTGGGTTAGGAGCTGGGTTCGGTGGTGGGTTTGCTGCTGGGCTTGACTGGTGGGCTTTGGGGAGCAGCAGCGGGAGGCTCGTCGGTATCGGATCTCACTCCTCTTTACCGCTCGTCACCCCTCTGTACCGCAGGTGGTGGAGGCACAGCACCAGCGGCAGGACTCGAGGGGACACCAGAGCATGACAGTAGCACGAGGGTTGGGAGAGAAGGTGAGATGTTAGTGGGGTTGGGGGACAAAGCGAGTTGTTAGGGTGTAGGGCAAAGTCAGCAGTATCAGCGGCGGGACTCGAGGGGCCACCAGAGCATGACAGTTGCACGTGGGTTGGCTGATATGGTGAGGCGGACAGGGGGTTTAGTCTATATTAATCCGGGTGTCTCACCACTCTCTACTCTAGCAACCCACCCACCCGGTAAGACTTTATGTGTGTGTGTGGTTTTTTTTTTTTTTTTTTTTTTTTTTTTAGATTATTATTTACCTTCCCCACTCCTCCCTCCCTATGTGACAACAGGCACGCACCCTGAGTTGCACCCGGGAGGGCGAGCAGCAGCAGTCATACGAGGTCCTGCACAACATGTCGCAAGGTGGGGGTGGTGGTGGGTGGGAGTGGTGGGGAGTGGTGGGGAGTGGTGGGTGGTGGTACGATGTCTGATTTCGTGGTATGAGGGCGAGCAGCAGCGGTCATATGAGATCCTTCATAACATGTCGCAAGGTGAGGGTGATGGGATGGGGTGTGTTTCATTGTAGGAGTGGTGCGTGGTGGTGAGAGGTTTGTTTGCCGTAATGGTATGAGTGCTGCAGCAGCGGTCATACGAGGTTCTGCACAACACGTCGCAAGGTGGGGCTTTAACGTTCAAGTTAGGGTTCACGTGGGATTCAGTGTGCTTCGATGTGGTGTTGGGACGTGCCTTGCCATGGCAGCAGTCATACGAGGTTCTACACAACATGTCGCAAGGTGGGGAATGGTGATGTTGGGTTCGGGCCCTCATATGTAAGGCATGGGCTTGAAATCCGTCAGGTATGGACTCTGAAATTTGGATTTTGGGTTTGGAGATCCTACGTATAAAATTTCTACTGTAAATCTGATCTCACTTGTCACATCACATACTCTTGTCCACCCTTCCCCCTTCCTTCCCTTCCCCCTTCCTTCCCTTCCCCCTTCCTTCCCTTCCCCCTTCCTTCCCTTCCCCCTTCCTTCCCTTCCCCCTTCCTTCCCTTCCCCCTTCCTTCCCTTCCCCCTTCCTTCCCTTCCCCCTTCCTTCCCTTCCCCCCTCCTTCCCTTCCCCCTTCCTTCCCTTCCCCCTTCCTTCCCTTCCCCCTTCCTTCCCTTCCCTTCCTTCCCTTCCCCCTTCCTTCCCTTCCCTTCCTTCCCTTCCCCCTTCCTTCCCTTCCCGCTTTCTTCCCTTCCCCCTTCCTTCCCTTCCCGCTTTCTTCCCTTCCCCCTTCCTTCCACCAGAGGAAGCAGCAACCTTCGACAGCACATGGCAGCACCACGCACGACACGCCCTCCCCCCCTCGGCCTCCACTCCCGCTGCTCCGTCTGCGCGCCTCGCCCTCCCGTCCTCCGCTCACCCTTCCTCTTCTCGCCAACCCTCCTCCAGGCCCTCTGGGGGAAGCAGAGGGGGAGGACAGGCGTATGGGTACTAGAGCAGAGGGGAAGGGGGAGCTGATGCAGCTGCCTCACCTGCTCACCGCGTCACGCCCTCCTTCCCTCAGCCTCCGCTCCTGCTGCCCCTTCTGCTGACGTGCTGGGGTGTGATAGTGGGATGTGGACTGCTGTGTGTTGTGTTGTGATGTGCTGAACTGTGATGCAAGGATTCAATATGCGCAAGGGTGAAGTGGCCTTGAAATCTGGCTTGTATCATAAATGCAGTGTACCATATAGGTCCACCTGTTATTTGTAAATAGCACATGATTGAATCAGTATGAACCTCAAGTTTTGATCATTAATGATGTTAGTTCGTGCTGGGTGCCCTGCCCACCAGTGGCCCCATGCCTGCAGGCTTGCTTAGATTCGCACCCAACGCTGTTGCGACCCACCTGCTGCGTGGTTTCCTTTCCAATCTAGTGGTAGTCTTTTCCTGTCCGCCCCATGGCTCCTACTACTTGTACCATAATGTCTTTATGGCACAAGTAGCCCAAGTGAAGCACATCACAATAGGTAACCACCAACGACCACCACCATGACTCAACGATTCACTATACAGGTACCTTCTCTCCTACAATATCTGCTACACTTGCAAACACATGCTTTTCCACCTGAGTTGATTCTGCTCCTCCTGCCACCCCCCGATCCTCACAATGCAAAAGCCCTTCCAATTCCCCACCCCTCCGCCTCCCCACCACCCTATCAATCATCCCCTGTAGAATTTCGCCCACTGCTGCCACCAACCCCCTAACAACTACTCCCACCGCTTTACACCGATCCAAAAGCCACCGCTCGGCAGCACCCACATCCCCCAGCCAATCAAACGTCACGAAAGAATTAATCCCCAGGAACCCCAGGACAACCAACGCCGCCCCGACCATGTGAACAGTGTCTGGAAGGCTGTTGGCCTTCCAGCTGTCTACAGTGAGGGCGATAGGAATTTGAATCTGTAGCCCGGCTGTAGCGGCGGTGGGGGTGGTGAGGAGGACAGCTCGCGCCCAGAGGTAGTCACTCAAAACGTTGTCCAGCAGACCTGGGGTGGTGGGGAGGAAGCGGGAGAGAGAGGGGGAAGGCGCATGGAGAACATGGGGGAGGGGAGGAAGGGGGTGGTGAGGAGGACAGCTCGCGCCCAGAGGTATTCACTCAAGACGTTGTCCAGCAGACCTGGGGTGGTGGGGAGGAAGCGGGAGAGAGGGGGGGAAGGCGCATGGAGAACATGGGGGAGGGGAGGAAGGGGGTGGTGAGGAGAGCGGCTCGCGCCCAGAGGTATTCACTCAAGACGTTGTCTAGCAGACCTGGGGTGGTGCGGGAAAGGAGGGGGAAGGGAATGGGAAACACGTTGCTTGGCTTGGCTTTAGTGAGCAGGACGGCTCGAGCCCACAGATAGTCACTCAATGCATTGTCTAGCACACCTGGGGTGGTGGAGAGGGATGGGGGGAAGGGGCACCGCAAGGGAGAACACGAGGGAGAGGGGAGAGGGGAGGAAGGCGGTGGTGAGCAGGACGGATTGCGCCCAGTGATAGTCACTCAGAACGTTGTCCAGACCCCACTGGGAGATCGTACCTCACCTTTGGCAATACTTTTGAGGCGCCTAAAATATCGGAGGGAAATGGGAGACTTCCTACCTTTAGCAATGACCAGACCCCACTGGGATGTGCTGGGCCAGGCGAACCACTCCCCTCGCACCCACTGCACCAGCAGCTCCACGGGAGCGAGCAGGAAGAGGTCGAAGAGTCCCACAACCTACTACCCTCCCTTGCTACTGCTGATAGGGTAGGGAGGCGTACCTTTGGCAATGACCAGCGTCCACTGGGAGGCGTCGGGCCATGCAAACCACTCGCCTCGCACCCACTGCACCAGCAGCCCCACAGGTGCGAGGAGGATGGCCAGAAGCGCATTATCCAGCAGCGGGTAGGGAGAGGCGTACCTTTGGCGATGACTAGAGCCCACTGAGAGGCATCGGGCCAGGCGAACCACTCTCCTCGCACCCACTGCACCAGCAGCCCCACGGGCGCCAGCAGGAAGAGGTTGAAGAGTCCCAGATACCCAAACATGAGCGCTGTGCTGAACGGTACCTCCTCTTCCTCCTCCTCTCCTCCTTCCTCTTCTGCATCCCTCCTCTTCCTTACGCCCTTCCCCTCCCCATCCTTTTGCTCGTCTCCTTCCTCCTCCCCTTTCCCCACCTTCTCCCCCTCCCCTTTCTCCTCCTTGTGCTCTTCTATTTCCCTTTCCTCTCCCGGCTTTTCCTCCTGTTCCACCTCTGCTTTCCCGCTCCCTGCTCCAGCCACATCAAATCCCCAACCTCCCGATTCCACCCGTCCCTCCTCCCCTCGCTCCTCCTCTCCCCTCCCTCCCCTTCTCACTCCCTCCTCCCCTCCCTCCGTCCCTTCCTCCTCGCCCATCTCCTCAAACCCGCCTTCAGCAGGCGTGAAAGACCGTAGCATGGTGGTATAGAGAGCGTAGAAACCCGCTGACATTAGCACCAGCACATCGCCAAACAGACTCTCCCTTGCGTTACTCGCAACTGCTGCACTCGCCTCTGCCACAGCTGCAGCATCAAACGCACTCCCACCACCACCACCGGCACTTAAACCTGTGCTATTCCCACTGCCACTTAGCCCTGCGCCACTGCTACCACCGCCGCCGCTGCTGCTGCTGTTGAAACCGCCGCTGGCGCTTAGGTTGCTAAGTGCGGCGTTTAGGGTGTTGCTCGCCTGGGCTTGGTCTGCCAGGGCGACTACAGCGGTGCCAGCCACACAGAGCAGCACGGAGAGCAGCTTGCGCAGGCAGAAGCGCTCGTGCAGGAGGTAGACGGAGAGAGCAAAGGTGAAGAGGCTTGACGTGCAGCTGAGAATGGTGTTGGACTGGAGGGGAAGGGGGTGGGGGGAAAGGGGGGGGGGAAGGAGAGGGGAGGAGGGGAGGAGGGGAGGGAGCGGGGAGGAGAGGCAGAAGTGGGTGTGGGGAGTCAGGAACAGAGAGCAGCACCGAGCAGCACAGCAGAGAGCCACACAGAGCAGCACGGAGAGCAGCTTGCGTAGACAGAAGTGCTCGTGAAGGAGGCAGACGGAGAGGGCGAAGGTGAAGAGGCTTGACGTGCAGCTGAGAATGGTGATGGACTGGAGGGAAGGGGGGAAGGGGATAAGGGGCAAGCCAGGGAGTTGGAAAATTGACGAGCTCGTGAAGGAGGTAGACCGAGAGAGCAAAGGTGAAGAGGCTTGACGTGCCGCTGAGAATGGTGTTGGAATGGTTGACGGGGGGGGAGAAGGGAGGGGGGGGTTAGCAAAGAGAGGAGAAGGAGGTAGACGGAGAGAGCATAGGTGAAGAGGGTTGCCGTGCAGCTGAGAATGGTGTTGGACTGATGGAGGGGGGAGGAAAGCGGGGGGCACGAAGGAGAGGGCAGGAGGCGAGGGGAGGGGGGAGGGGGATTCAGCAATTCAGCGGAATGGCACAAGCGTGCGTGTGTGTGTTGTGATTGGCGATTCAGCAACAGCGATATGAAACCCATGCAATAAGCCCCAGGCGACTCACAGTGATGCTGCGAGAGGTTTTGAGTCGACTCAAAACACGACTCACAGTGATGCTGCGAGAGGTTTTGAGTCGACTCAAACCACGACTCACAGTGATGCTGCGAGAGGTTTTGAGTCGACTCAAAACACGACTCACAGTGATGCTGCGAGAGGTTTTGAGTCGACTCAAAACACGACTCACAGTGATGCTGCGAGAGGTTGAAAGTGAACTGAGCGAGGAAGCACACACACACGGGGCAGATGGGCAGACACAACAAGAGGGGGGGAGCCCTCCAGAACTTACAGTGACGCCCATGGGATGCCTGGAATGAATGAACCCCATGTACCAGGACTGGACTCACAGTGACACTGGTGTAGGCGAGTGTATGAAGAAGTGTTTTGAGACGTCTCAAAACACTTCCCCATGGGATGCCTGGAATGAATGAACCCCATGTGCCTGGACTCACAGTGACACTGGTGTAGGCGAGTGTATGAAGAAGTGTTTTGAGACGTCTCAAAACACTTCCCCATGGGATGCCTGGAATGAATGAACCCCATGTGCCTGGACTCACAGTGACACTGGTGTAGGCGAGAGAGAGGTTGAAGGTGAACTGAGCGAGGAACCACACAGGGCAGATGGCCAGACTCACTCCCGCCACTCGTCCCCTCGTCCACCTCGCCTCCTCCACTGCTGCTGCTGGGATAGACGGCGCTGCTGCTTTTCCCAAGCTCAATCCTGAATGCTCCTGCTGTTTCTGCTGCTGCTGCCGCTGGTGCTGATTCTGCACGTCCTTTTCCCGTCCTTGTTGCGTAGGCTCGGAACTTCTATGTTCGGAAGGGCTTGGTGTGAGACTCGGACCCGAGCCTGGGCTGCCGAGCCAGAGCCTGAACGAGCCTGCATCGAAGGATCGGTGACTCCAGTGGCGGAAAGAGGGGGAGGCGAGAATCTCTGCTGACGTGGACGAATTGGATTGGACAGACTCCTTGCTGGCGGATTGAGCCAGTGCAGTGTGAAAGGAGAGACGGGTTTCCAGCTCATGAGCCCTCCTGTCCACGTCAGCATGAGCTGGACTACCACTGTGCAACGAAAGGTCTTCTATTTGAATTCCTTCCCCCTTTTTAGTCACACCCTGAGTCAAATCAAACACTTTTATATTCCTTAGGGGCTCAGAAATACTCTGCCTCTCCTGGTAACCCCCTGCTCTCTCCACTCCTTCTCCCCCCTCCCCTGGTCCCTTCTCCCCTTGCACTGCTCCTACTCCCCCATGTGCTGCTGGTTCTATCCCCTCTATAATCAGCTCCGTTGTTGCCACTCGTGTTTCTCTACCTCGCCCTTCAACTGCCTTAACCAATCCCCCTTGTCCCTGCGCTCCCTGCTGCCCCTCCTGCCCCAGCTGCCCCTGCTCCTTCCGCCCCCCCTGCTCCTTCCGCTCCCCCTGCTCCTCCCGCTCCTCCTGTTTCTCCTGTTTCTCGTGTTCCCCTTGCTGCCCCTGCTCCCCCTTCTCCCCCTGCCCCTCCAACCCACCCCTCTCGTCTCGCCCATGCACTATCCCCAGCATCCCTCCCTGTACACCTTTTCCCTTCTTATTTTCCTCTTCTTCCCCCATCAACCCCTCAAGGCGCCCCTCCTCTCCAAAATCCCCCAATCCCCTCGCCTTCTCCCCTTCTACCAACAACCCTCTCTCTTCCTCCGCTCCATCCCCGCCCTCCCTTTTCTTCTTTTTTATCATACTGATACTGGTTACCATGTTACCACCACCATCATTGCTCTTGCTGCTGCTTTTCCCCCCAGAACGACCTGCTGAATCGCCCTTTCTGCTGCCCGTTTTGCTTTTGAAAGAGCCACTTCCAGGCTCGTCCTTTCCGAAGAGGTACCACCAGAGCTCTACAACGGGGATGTAGAGCACGAATAACGAGTTGCAGATGTACGTGAGTAAAAAGGGCGCCAGACCATCTTCCACCACAGCCTGGGAAGAGAGAGAAGGGACACAAGGGGTTTCTGAGGCGCCTCAAAGCACGAATAACGAGTTGCAGGTGTATGTGAGTATAAAGGGCGCCAGACCATCTTCCACCACAGCCTGGAAAGGAAGTAACGAGACACAAAGGGAGAAAAGTACAAGAGGGTCGAATTTTGAGTCGACTCTGATAACGAGTTGCAACTGTACGTGAGTATAAAGGGCGCCAGACCATCTTCCACCACAGCTTAAAAAGAAAATGAAGGGACAGAAGGGGGAGAGAGAGAGGGGGAAAAAAAGGGGAAAAAAGTAGAATCAAGACTGATATAAGTGTGCGCACTTCAATTCCGTACACTGAAATCCCGTGCAGAGGTTCTCTATTCTATCCGCGCTATAATCTTATAAACTCTTTTTTACCTGCACTATGTAGCTCGCGAATAAGCCACGGTCACCACCAGTGTCATGCAGCGAGGTTAATTCCGTAAGGTTCTCCTCCTTACCTGCACTATGTAGCTAACGGCCACCAGTGCCATGCAACGAAGCACAGATGATCAAATTAAGTTAATTCCGTAAGCTTTTCCTCCTTACCTGCACTATGTAGCTCGCGGATATCCAGATTAAAGCCACGGCCACCACCAGTGCCATCCCCTGCAGCCATTTCAGGTGGCTTGCGTCCATTGGTGGAGCGACCGGCCAGTTAGGAGCTGCCGCGTGGAGACTGGCCAATCAGCGGCCACGACGTTGAGCGTCGGCGGGAGGGTGTAGCTGGAGATATGTCGGCTGCGAGAATTGGTCACTCAGACATTCATGTCTCATGCCAATCAGCTGTTTTAGCGAAATTGTTCATGTATGCTTTACGCCAATCAACCTCCGTAGTTCAGAAAGCAGTTGAATTGCCGAAATTTCGCAGCGCACCTCTTAAGAGCTACCAGCAGGGTAAGAAGATAACTATTCCCAGCCGATCGTCAATTATAAATCGAATGAACCAGCACTCAGGGTTCAAAGACCGGCACGAAATCCGTAATTGCTGGCATTAGGTGAGATAAGCTACCTTTAACATGCGAATCGACAGGTTTCGTCGCGGTTCTGCTAGAATGTCCATTCAACCTGCTAATATCGTATGTACATAATGAAGCCGCAGCAAGATCAGCCAGTGTGATTCCTCTTGTGCTTCTCAAGCAAGCGTGATTGACCTTCGATTCGAGCTACTAATCGGTCAGTTACGGTTTCGAGCGAATTGAAACTATTTTGCGACATGCTCTGCTTGCTGATCGCCCGGTACCGTTACTAACCGCAGCTTACCAGACCTAACCGTGGTTTTTGAATTGTACGGATTTGGGTCGTCGTCAGAATTCTCTGAATATTTCCGAGCTGGGCTGGGCAGAGTACCGCTCGTAACGAACGGTTGAGATCCCGCGTCGGCTTGACAGATGTGCTGGCCCAACGGGTATGTACAGCTGGCGCAATACAAGCTGCCTCTATAATCATAGGCCGTCTTGAACCTACACATCAATGTATCCACTTGTTTTAACGTAGTTCTCACCATACCACGGGGTGAGATACTAGTGCACGTAGCTTTCATAATAACAATAACCTTTGTCTTCTATGGCGTGCACACAAAAGCCTCATTTGTACTTACAGCATGCCTCCTCTTCCCTCCCCCATCCTCCATCCCCCTTTCCTCCTCTTCCCTCTCCATCTTTCTCCCGTTCCCCCCCATCAATTCCTCTAACACCACCCTCCATTCCCTCCACCTCCCCCACTCCCCCTCCCGTATCATCCACACCGCACCACTCCTACCCAACCCTCTCAACCCCTCCCTCTCCCTTTCACCCAGCACCTGAAACGCAATCTTCCTCTCTCCTTTGATCGCCAAACACGCCGCCTCCGCTGCTGCAGCCGCCTCACGGAAGCTGTCCCATTCCCCACAAACGAACCGCTCCGGGACGCGAAAGCGCATGCTCTTGTGCGCGCTGAAATTCAACACAGCCTGCCACTTGCTGTCAGCATTACTAACACCACTGCTGTCACCGCCGCCGCTGCTATCACCGTTACTTGTGCCACCACTACCTGTGCCATTGCTGCTCATGATACCTACACTGGATCCTTCAGTACTGCCGCCCTTGCTGACCTTGCTGATTGTGTAGTGACCTGTCAGAAGGTCCTTCATGCCTCCCTTAGAATCCTTGGGCAGAGAGGAGCGAGGCGGAGAGAGTGGCTCTTGCAATAGTTGCCCTTGCTGCTGCTGCTGCTGCTGCTGCTGCTGCTGCTGCTGCTGCTGTGGGCAATTGCCAGGAAGCGTCAGCAGGAGTTGGTGCGGGTGCTGATGCCCTAGTTGCTGCTGCCTCTCCTGCTCGTGCCCCTGCGCCGGCAGCTGCTGCAGCGGGGAAGTCAACTGGCCGCACCTTTGCCTCTGCAGCACCGCATCGCTGCCACCCACAAGCCGAGGTGCCTTTTCAGTGTTGTGAGTCGACTCAAAACACGGCAGCTGCTGCAACGGGGAAGTCAACTGGTCGCACCTTCGCCTCTGCAGCACCACATCGCTGCCACCCACAGCAGCACCCGCCACTCCCTCCGGAACCCAATCCATCCATTTCTTCCATGTCTTCCCTTTGATCATCCTCACTGCTTCGAAAGGGTCCATCTGCCTAAGCGTCTCCTTCTGCCTCTCAGTTAAAAGCCGCAGCTTGTTTCCCCTCTGCTGCATCTCTTTCTCCCCTATAAGCACGAAATATGCAGCTTCTGCTGCTGCTCCCGCCGCCTCTAGATCGTCCCACTGCCCGCAGTGCAGTTTCTTGCATACCCCATATAAGGCGCTCCGCTGCGCGTTTAAAGGCACGCGAACGGCCCACGCATTGTAGTTCTTCGTAACGCCGATGTAACCGGACGAATTCGCCTGCTTCTTCTTCGTAACAACCGGGGTCTTGTCGTGGTAAACATCTCTGGGCGGTTCCACAGGCACGTCTCGGGGCTCTTCTCGAGGCACTTCTCGAGGCACTTCTTGAGTCGACTCAACAACCGGGGTCTTGTTGTGGTAAACATCCCTAAGCGGCTCTACAGGCACCTCTTGACGCACCTCTCGAGGCTCTTCTTGTAAACCAATCTCCTGCAACGGCCTCCCCTCCTCTAATCCCATTCCCAGTCCCACTTCCTGGTCCACCCCCAAGAGCTCTACTTCCTGCTTCCCACCATTTTCGTCTCCCCTTCTCACGCCCCCTTTCCCTCTGCACCCCCCTTTCTCCTCCCCCCATTCTCCCTTCTTTTCCCCCTTCCCTGTCTCCCCTTCCTCCCCCTTCCCCCTCTCCCCCCCCTTCCCCCTCTCCACCCCTTTCCTCCCCCACTCCCGCCACAATCGCCACATCTTCCCCTGAATCATCCCCACAGCCTCCTCCCACCCCATCTGCCTCAACCTCTCCTTCTCCCCTTCCCTCAGCACCTTAAACTCGATCCCCCTCTCCCCTTTAAGCACCAGATAAGCCGCCTCTGCTGCTGCGGCGGCTTCTAGAAGCTCCCCTTCCTCCCAAGACCCGCAGTTGAGGGCCGATGCTCTGATACCATACTTGGTGCGCTGTGCCTGGCTGAGAAAAAGGTTCACGGACCACTTAGAACCGACCCGAACCACTCCAAAGTATCCGGATGAGCGGGAGGACTTTGCTGGAGGAGTGGAGGGTGGGGCATCATGAGAGGTGGAAGATGGAGTGAGATTCACGTGAGAGGTGGGGGATGGAGTGAGTTTCGATGCTGCACGCTGCATCCCACTCAAGGCCTTCGAACTCGAAGCTTTTAAGGCCTTTGGGGAGTTTGAAGTGTTTGCTGGTGCTGGCGGTGGCGGTGTGAACTGGGAGCATCGTTGCAAGTTGGAATAAGCTGATTCGAACGCTGCTGCTGCCGCTGCTTCTGCTGCCGCCACTTCTTCTGCTCCTGCTTCCTCCCACCCTGCTCCCCCTTCCATGCCTTGCGGTATCACCTCAAGCACCCCTCTCTCTCCACCTAGCACAACTAGCACTTGTCTTTCCTTATTCTCATCCCTCCATTCCCCCTCTTCCTCCTCTTCCTCACCTTCCTCCTCCTTTGCTTCGTGCACCGCCACCAGTGCCATCTCTCTCTCCTCTCCTTCCATCTCCTCCTCCTCTTCCTCTTTCTTTACACATACCACCATCTGACCGCTCTCCTCTCCTTTTTCGCCTCCTCTCCCTTCCTCCTCTCTTCGTATCGCCTCCTCTCTGTCTTCCTCCTCTCCTCCCCCGTCCGCCTCCCTTCTTACTGCTCCCCTTCTCACCGCCTTCCCTTCGCCTCCCTCCCCTTCCAACTCCTCCTCCTCCTCCTCTTCCTCCTTCTGGTCCTCGTCACCCATCTCAACCTCCTCATACCACTCTTTTACTAGCACCACCTCCTCGTCTTCCTCCTCTTCCTCCTCCCCTTCTTCCTCCTCCTCCTCCCTTTTCACAAGCATGCTTGCCCCCACATTCCGGCCTCCCTCCATACGACCCCCCCCCTCTTCCATCTCCCCTTCCTCCGTCTGTCCAATCTCCCCTTCCTCCTCCTCTTCTAAAACCCTTTCCTCTGCCTCTTCAATCTCCCCTTCCTCCCCCTCTTCCGTCTTCACCACCACTCCCTCCCTTTCCTTCCGTTCCTCCTCCCTCCCCCCTCCGTCCCTCTCATCTCCCCCGTCCCGCCCCAGTCTCTCATTTTCTGTCCAGCACACAAGCCCTTGTCTCTTCTCTTCTATTCTCTTCCTCCTCTCCTCCTCTTTGTGCTGCTGCTCCTTCTGCTGCTGCGGCTGATGCGCTTTAACACGCTTCTGCTCCCCATTGCAATTCCAGAGCCTCTGGGCTCCCGCATCTGAAGGCTCCTGCCGGGGTCTCTTCTCTTCCCGTCTCTTCCTGCTCTCCTCTTCTTTCTGCTGCTGCTGCTCCTGCTCCTGCTCCTGCTGCTGCTGCGACTGATGCCCATTACAATGCCCATCCCCATTGCCATCCCAGAGCCTCTGGGGTCCCACCCCCTCTGCAGGCTCCTGCTTGGGTGTAACTCGGCCCTGGGGAATACCGACCGGTTCCTGAGGCGCCTTGGAGAAAGACCCGTCCCCACCCCCGTTCGTATCTTCATCCCTTTGCTTATGGCGTTCCATCCCCTCTGCAGGCTCCTGCTTGGGTTCGACCCAGCCCTTGGGAATACCGATCGGTTCCTGAAGCGCCGTGGAAACAGACCCGTCCCCACCCCCGTCCGTATCCCCGTCCCTTAGCGTATGGCGTTCCATTCCCTCTGCAGGCTCCTGCGTGGGTTGAACCAATCCCTTGGGAATACCGACCGGTTTCTGAGGCGCCTTAATAACAGACCCACCCCCACCCCCGTCCGTATCCCCATCCCTTAACGTATGGCTTTCCATCCCCTCTGCAGGCTCTTTCTTGGGTTGAACCAAACCCTTGGGAATACCGACCGCAGGCGCAAGCAGCAGCCCCACGGAATGAACCTCCCGCAGCTGCTCCTCAGGCTCGGCGTTTTCCAAACCGCTAGGTTCGGCATACCTCACGACGCGAGGCTCGGCATTTCCCAAACCGGTAGGCTCGGCAGAAGATACAGCGCGAGGCGCGGGGTGGTTTGGATGGAGCGCAGCGTCTCTGTCGCCGCCCTGTCTTATGAGCTCGGGTTCAACTTTAATCTCCACTGCAAAATATTTTTTAGACTTCTCGAAATTTTCGGGTTCAACTTTAATGTCAATCTCCGTCCGCCTCTCCTCCGGGTCGAGCTTCATTTCTATCATCTCCTCCCGCTCCATCTCGCCTTCCCTCCTTCTTTCTCGCTAGAACATCAACTACCTAATGGTCTCCCGTTCGGTCCTAATGGCTGTCCGAACCTCTTCTCCCTCGACCTTCACTTGAAAAAGCTATCGTTTGATAAGCCGCGCATATCCCCAATGCCCCCATCCCATCCCAGAGAAGACAATTTGAGTCACCTCCGAGACTCCTCTCTGTGTTACCACACGGAGGATTTAGGGGGTTCTGTTGAAAAGGATTTGCGGCCAAGAAATTGGCGAAGAGTTGGGCGTGTCGCTAAAGCTATTCGCGAAGACATGAACGAGTTGGCAAAGGCAGAAATGCTACATTCCTTGTCACACTTCTACACCATGTGACTTGGCAACAATAATCATGAAAACTGAAAAAAAGAATAGCTTGATGAATCATGGGTAATATTACATGTTACATGAAAGAAGAATTTCACCAACTCTATGTTAAACAATAACGAATCACGCACCCTCTACATCAGTGCCAAAAAGAACTCAATGCAGCTCATCCCACAAACGATTCGTCCGATTGTAGTGCAATTGTTACCTCAGGATTGCAATACCGCTTCATCACTTATCCGCTTCCCATGGCAAGCCGCAAAACATACTCTTTCCACTCCTTCGCCCCCGTCCCCTCCTCTTCTTCATCCGAATTCTTCTCCTCCTCCTGAACCTCCTCCCTCCTCGCAGTCCCCCCTCCTCTCCCCCCATCATGACCCATGCCATGTGCACCAGTCACAACCCCTCCCGGTTGAGGGTATGCGAGAAAATTCCCGCTGCTACCCGGTTGCATGGCAGCGTTTCCGGGTTGCATTGCATTGTTTCCGGGCTGCATGGGAATGCTCCCAGGCTGTATTCTCTCCTCGTGAATCCCACCACCCACCACCATCCTTCCATGCACAAACCCACTTGGAAAACCCCCTGCTGCTGCTCCTCCAACTCCTCCTACTCCCGGACCTGCTCCCACTCCTGCTCCCCCTCCTCCTCCCAAACCTCCTGCTTCGCCCCCTCCTACTCCCACCCCCCCTGGTGCTCCCCCCCCTGCTCCACTACCCATCTCCCCCACCCCTGGCACCATCCCACCCCCTCCTCCCGCCACCTCCCCCACTCCCGCCCCTCCCCCGCTTCCCCCTCCCCCGCTCCCCCCTCCCTCCACCGCCCCCCCTCCCACAACCCCTCCCAGCCGCCAGTCCTTCCAATCCTTCCACGTCTTATTCTTAATCATCACCATAGCCTCATCCGGATCCATTTCCCCAAGCACCTCCCTCTGCTGCTCAGTCAGAAACTTGAACGTCCGCCCCTTCCCGCCCTTGAACACGAAATTCGCCGCTTCCGCCGCCGCTGCCGCCTCCAAAACTTCCTCGTACTGCCCGCAGTGGATGCTCTTTCCTACGGCGTACCGCTGCCTCTGGTCAGCGTTCATCGAAAGTTTCGCTGCCCATTTCCGGCCGTTTCTTGCCACACCATAATACCCAGAAGCCCAAGACACATGGCTCGACCCACCGGCCCCACCCCCACCACCAGCACCACCACCTCCTCCTGCTTCGCCCTCCTCTCCTTCTGCTAAGTCCCTCTCGTCTGCACTTGTAGGGGTGCTTTTGGCTGCTTGAGGGGCAGATGGAGCGGCGGTGGGAGGGAGCAGGGACAGAGGGGATTCGTGTGGGTTGGGCAGTGGAACCAGGGATAGTGGCTGCTGTTGCCCCTGATGCTGCTGCTCCTGCTGCTGCCACTGTTGCTGTGCTTGCTGCTGCTGCTGCTGCTGCTGCTGTCCCTGCTGCCATTGTTGTTGTTGCTGCTGCTGCTGCTGCTGCTGCTGCTGTTGCTGTCCCTGCTGCCACTGTTGCTGCTGCCACTGCTGCTGCTGCATAGGCTGTGACAGAGGCTGCTGCAGCCCCTGCCATTGCTGCTGTTGCTGTTGCTGCTGTTGCTGTTGCTGCTGCTGCTGTTGCTGTTGCTGCTGCTGCATCGGACCCTGCCCCATCCACCCCTGCTGCTGCTGATGTGCCTGATTCAGACTCTGATTGTAGTTCTGATTCTGGTTCTGCTGCTGAAGTTGCTGCTGGTGTTGTTGCTGCTGCTGCTGCTGCTGCTGCCACTGCTGGGGTAGCGACAAACCCACTTGCCCCTGCCACCCCTCCCCTCCCCCCTGCCCCTGTCCTTGTCCCTGCCCCTGTCCTGGCCCCTGCTGTAACCAGTTCCTACTGCCAATCCCCTCTCCTTCTTTCCTCTCCTCCTCCTTTGCTTTCAACAGCCCACCCTCCTTTCGCCCATCCCACCACCCCTGACTAGCCTGCTGCTGCTGCTTCTGGTGCTGTTGCTGTTCCTGTTGCTGCTGGTGTTGTTGATGCTGTTCCTGTTGCTGCTGGTGTTGGTGATGATGCTGCTGCTGGTGCTGCTGTTGCTGCTGTTGCTCCTGCTGCTCCTGCAGCTGCTGCTGTGGCAAGTGGGCCTGAACAGGCCCCCGCTCGCCTCTCCACTCCTTCCATTCAGCCCACCGCTTCTCCCTGACCAACCAAACAGCGGTATCCGCCCCCATATGTCTCAACATTTCCCTCTGTCCCTCAGTCAGAAACCTAAATTCCCGCTTCCCCTCCCCTTTAAACACATAATAAGCCGCCTCCGCCGCTCCTGCTGCTTCGTATAGATCCTCCCATTGGCCGCAGTGTAGCTTCTGATATACCCCATATAAGGCTCTCTGCTTAGCGTCCATAGGAACCTTCACAGACCACTTCTTACCGTTACGAAACACGCCAAAGTAACCAGACGCGTAGCCCTCCCCCGGAGGTTGCGGCAGGGACGAATGACCTGGCCCTACCCCATGCTGACCTGGCGCCGAGTCAGCACGGCCCGGCGCTGACTCACGGTGACTAAGCGCTGAGCTGTGCTGCTCCGGAGTGCTGTGTCGGTGCGCTGGAGAGCCGATCAGAACGAGAGCTTGCGACGACTCGGGGTGATGCGCCTCCCTCCCATGCTGTGCTCGTTCTCGTTCACGCTGTGTGACAGCAGCATCGCTATACTCATTCTCTCTGCTTGCCGCATTGTCATCACTCTGTGCTCGCCGAGCCCTCTTGAACTCACGCTCGCTATCCTGCTCATGCTCCCGCTCCCGCTCGTGATGCCCCCTCCCATGCCCCCTCTCGTGCCTCCTCTGCTTCTCCCTGTGTCTGTGATACTCATGCCCCATGCCTGAGGCCATCCCTGCCATCCCAGTTTCCTCCTCCTGCTCCTCCTCTTCCTCCCTCTTTGCTATCCTCCCAGAGCCTCTCAAATGGCCGCTGGGAGGAGAAGCGTTCAAGGATAGCGACAGGGACGATGCAAACTCGTTCTGACCATGCTGCTTCTGCCTGTGCCGTTTCTCACCTCCTGTAACCGGCTCCCGGAGGGCCCTGTCTTCTCTTGTTGCTGCTGCTGCTGCTGCTGCTGCTGCTGGTGCAGGGCCGGGAAAAGCGTGCTCTGAGTGAGAAGGAGCTGAGGAGGAGGGAGGAGAGGAGCGGGCAGAGGAGGGATGAGAGGGATGGCGCATGGGACTGAGCGGGAGGAGGGAGAGAGGAGTAAACGGCGGTGCAACCTCCATTCCACTCCCTCTCCTTCTCCCTCGCCCCTCCTCCTCCTCCATCCCATCCTGCCGCTCCCACCCTTCCTCCTCCTCCTCCCGCCCCCTCTCTCCCCTCCCTTCTCCCATCCCCACCTTCCATTCGCCTTGCCTCTCCTCCCCTCCGTCCTCCCCCACAAACCACCCCGTCCCATCCCCCTCCTTCCCGGCCCGCCAATCCCTCCAAACCTTCCACCTCCTCTCCTTAATAATCCTCACTGCCTCATCCGGACCCATCTGCCTCAGCCTCCTCTTCTGCTCCTCACTTAGCAATCTAAACTCGATCTTCTCCCCTTTCAGCACCAAATAAGCCGCCTCTGCTGCGATTGCTGCCTCCCCAACATCATCCCATACCCCACAGTTGAGGATATGGCCTACTGAGTAGCTCGCTCGCTGTTTCATGTTCATTGAAAGTTGCACGGCCCACTTTCGACCGCTCTTCACCACTCCAAGGTACCCTGAGGCTGGTCTTGGCCCGTGATTCGCTGGGTTCAAAGCGGCTGCTGCTGCTGCTGCTGCTGCTGCTGCTGCTGCTGCTGCTGCGGTGGTTTCTGTAGCAGGAGCAGTAGATTGCACGTCTGCTGAGGTTCCACCGGCTGTAGCAGCAGCTGTAGCACTGGCAACAGCAGCAGCATGCGGGTCAGGGGTATGAGCAGGTGAATGTGCAGGTGGGACCACACTCCCTGACGTGGGGACAGATAGCCAAGGGAAGGGTGAATTGCTGCCCGCAGTAGCAGGAACAGCAGCTGTAGGAGCACCAATAGGACCATGAGAGCTGCTCATAGGATGAGGAAGAGGAGGAGGAGGAGGGGAAGAAAAAGGAGGAGGTGTGATGCTGGAAGCAGCAGCAGCAGCGCCACCACCACCACCGCCATCAGCAGCACCACCACCAACCGCCTTCGTCCCCCCCCACGGTAAACCCATACCGCCACTTAGCGAAGCTCCAGCACTTAACGACCCACCACCACCACCACCATCACCATCACCACCAGCACCACCGGCACCACCACCACCCAGGGAACCCCCACTCAAAGAGTCAACACCCAGAGAACTCTCCCCCAGGCCTTTACTCTTGAGCGCACTGAATGAAGATTTTTGAGACGTCTCAAAACCCCCACCCAGAGACTCAATGCCGAGAGAGCTCTCCCCCAGCCCTTTACTCTTGAGCGCACTGAATGAAGATCCCAGCATCTCCCTTATCCTCGCCACACGCTGATGCTGGCTAAACGATTCGTGCGGCCACGCCTCGTTATGAGCTGACTCGTTAGAGGAGAAGAGCGGGAGGGTGGTCGCGGTGGGGGTGGGGGGAGTGGGAGAGGTGGGGGTGGGAACGGGAGTGGCAGTAGGAGGTGGAGTAGTGACAGCAGCAGCAGCAGCACCAGCAGAAGCAGCAGCAGGAGGAGGAGCAGGAGCAGGAATGGTGTGAGGGGCAGGAGGAACCAAGGGAGGGAAGAGGCCTAGAGTGCCTCCATGCTGCTGCAGGAAGGCCTGTGGGGGAGGGAGCAGAGACGGGTGGAGAGGAGGAGGGTGCAGTGGCGGGGTGGACGCATGTGGGAGGGAGAGAACAAAACTTGCCCCCAGCTGCTGCTGCTGTTGCTGCTGCTGCTGCTGTTGCTGTTGACTTGGCTGACCTTGCAGGTGACCCACAGCAGCAGGAGGGGGAGGAACGGAGAAGGGACGGGGCATGGCCAGCAGCTCTCGAATGGACGCCACTGGCTGCTGATGCTGTAGCGTGGGCGTGCCATGATGTAATGTGGGTGGGCCTTGCTGTAGCATGGGTGTGCCTTGTTGTGATCCCGCCGAAGGGGGAAAAGGCACTGGATGGGATGCGGGGGGTGCTGCAACAAGGGGGGATGGAAATCCTGCAGGAGAAAAAGGAGGAGCGGAAAGAGGCGGAGCAGGGAAAGACGGGGGAGGAGGAGGCTCCGGATAAAAGTGCAGGGGCTGCTGGGCATTCAGATCCAGTTTCAGCCCCCGAGGTTCTTTTTCCTCCTTTTCTTCTTTTTCCTCTTCTTCCACTTTCTCCCGCGACCCGTCCTGCCTTTGCTCCTTGCCCTTCAGCCGCTCGCGTTCCTCCTTCTCCCTCTCCTTTTCCCTCTCCTTCTCCCCCTGCTGCTCCCTCTCCTTCTCTTTCTCCTTCTCCCTCTGCTGCTCCCTCTCCTTCTCCCTCTCCTTCTCCCTCTCCTTCTCCCTCTCCTTCTCCCTCTCCTTCTCCCTCGCCTGCTCCTTGTGCTGCTCCCTCTCCTTCTCCTTCTCCCTCTCCTTCTCCTTCTCCTCCCTCTCCTTCTCCATCTCCCGCCCACTCTCCTCTTCCTCCCTCTGCCCATCCGCATGCCTACCCTCCCACCCCTCATGCCACTCCAGCAGCATCGGCTCACCCTCCTGACTCTCTCCCTCTCCCTGCCCATCTCTCCCCTCCTGCCCCTCCTGCCCCTCCTGCCCCTCCCGCCCCTCCTGCCCCATCCCATGCCCCTCATTCCCCTCCCCCTCCCCCTGCCCCTCCTGCTGCGCGCCCCCCACCCCATGCCCATCCCCACTCTCCGCCAGCCCCATCCCCTTCACCCACCCAGTCCGATTCGGATACCACTCATTCCACTCCCTCCACCTCTTCGCCTTGATCAGCCACATCCCTTCATCCGGATCCATTTCCCCTAACACCTCCCTCTGCTGCTCAGTCAAAAACTTCCACGTCCGCCCCTTCCCTCCCTTGAACACGAAACAAGCCGCTTCGGCCGCGGCTGCGGCTTGCTCCACCTCCTCCCACTGCCCGCAGTGCATGTTCTGGCACACCCCGTACCGGGCCCTCTGTTGGGAGTTCATAGAGACCTTAGCGGACCATTTCCGGCCGTTCCGAGACACGCCTGGGTAGCCGGAGAAGTGCCAGGAGCGGCCGCTGGCGCCGTGATTCCCACCACTTGTTCCGCCTCCTCCGCCTCCTCCCCCTCCTCCTCCTCCTCCGCTTCCTCCTCCACCACCACCACCAGTACCGCCGGCACCACCCCCGCCACTGCTGTGCCCGTCCCCCCGACCGTGGCCTCCTGAGTTGTGACTCCCACGGCCCTGCGCTGCTGCTGCTGCTGTGCTCCCATTCTGTGCCTCCTGCCCCCCCAAATGTTGCCCTTGGTACTCCATGTAACCCTGCAATTGCTGCTGCTGGTTATGGCGGTGGTGAAGGTGCTGCTGCGGCAGCTGCTGATGCTCCCATGCATCTGCTGCAGCATCCTCTCTGGTCCTCTTCCCTGGACTCCCCTCCACGGCCTTGCCTTTGCTCCTCCGCCTGCTCCTGCCCAACCCCTTCCCGCCACCGCTCCCTCCTCTACTCTCCCCCACCCCCATCCCTCCCCTTCCCACACCCCCACTCCCTAATCTCTGCTCCTCACCCGCCCCATACACTCCTCCTGCAGCAACCAGCGCGCGCTCATACAGCTCATTCCCCTCGTAGCCAGCATTCCCCTCATAGCCTGTTTCCACAGGCACTATTGCTAGCTCGGTACCAGATGGTCTCTCCTCACCCGCGAGCCCAGCAACCGCAGCAACCCCAGCAGCCCCAGCTGCCCCAGCAACTCCAGCAACCCCAACAGCCGTTGCAGGAAACCCAGAAGCTGTAGCAGCTGTAGCAGGAACCCAGAGATTCTCCTCCTGCTCTGCTGCGTGCCTGCAGAACTCGACCAGCCGTTGCTTCTGGAACTGGGCCGGTAGGTGCTGAGGCAGGCCGGCAGGCATGCCCCACTGCCACTCGCTGCCGGCTGTAGCGCCGGCTGTAGCAGCGGCTCTTGCCCCGGCTGTAGCGGTGGCTGTAGTGCCGGTTGTAGCAGCGGCTGTAGCAGCGGCATCTAAGGCTGTGGCGAATCTAGCTGGCCCTAGGATTGCAGCAGCGTCTGCTGTGGCTGCTGCTGCTGCCTCTGCTGCTGCAGCTGCTACTGAATCCGCAGCAGAGACTGCAGCCAGGGCACCCGTAACAGGGTTACCGATACCACCGAGCTGCAAGACCTCAGTAGTATCATCCTCGCTACTGTCACTACCACAGGAGTCACTATCATCCCCAGAAACATAAGTATCGCTGCTGGCTCCAGCAGCAGCCGCAACACGCCCCTTTTCATCTGCCATCTCCTCTGCTGTCTCCTCTTCCTTCTGCTCTTCCTTCTGCTTCTGCTTCTGCGCCCGCCTCTGTTCCCGTCTCTGCTTCCTCCTCTGCTCTCGTCTGTGCGCCCTCCAAGCATCCATGACCCCAGTCCACGCCACCATGCGGCCATGCCATGCGCGCATGATGCCATCCCATGCATGCATCCGCTCGTCCCACTCCCGCATCTTCCTCCCCTCGTTCCTCTTTGTAACCACCCCCCCCACACCCTCTGTAGCTGGACCTGCCGCACCAGGAAAAGCTGCTGCTGCAGCTGCTGCTTCCGCAGGAGAATCCGCAGCAGCAGCAGCAGCAGCAGCAGCAGGAGCATCTGCATCAGTTGGAGTGGGAACTATAGGGCTATCCGTCGCTGCAGCTAAACCCACTCCTTCAGGCTCCTTCCCTTCTTCGGTCGAAGCCAAAGTCAGCTCCTGACTCCCTCTACCACCCTCGCCTTCGCCCTTCTTGCTCCCTTCCTCCTCGGCATCTTTTCGCCTTTCCCTCTCTCTACTCCCTTCTGCCACGTGCCTCTGCTCTCCTCTCTTCTCATCAATCATCATTGCATCGTCCCCCTCAGCACCAAGGACTATCTGTGAGGCATCGGCATTGCCACTCGCAGCACCATCTCCTTCAGCAACACCCGCATTCCCTTCCATCGAATCCCCTCCCTCTCCACTCTTCTCCTCCTTTCCTCCTTCCTCTCCCTCCACTCCCTTCTCCTCATTCTCTTGCTCCTCTCCCTTCTCCTTCCCTCCCTCCTCTCTCTTCTCCACCTTCCCTTCCTCCATCTCCTCCTCTCTCCCTCCACTCTCCCCTCCCTTCTCCTCTCCCTTCTCCTCTCCCTTCTCCTCGCCCCTCTTCTCATCTACCTCCATCCCTTCCGCATCCTTAATGGTACCATCCTGTTTCCCCAATCCTCCCTCCTCTTCCCCCAATTCCCTCACCTCATCGCTTGCAGCCTCATCTCGTACACCTCTCTCGTCCTTCTCACCTACGTCTTCATTCTCACCACTCCCATCACCCCCAGCTGCCCTCTTGCTTTTGCTCTCAACGAGCTTCTCATCCCTCTCCTCCCCACCCTTCCTATTCCCCACCACCACTCCCTCATCGCTCGTCCCGTCGCCACCCTTCTCCTCCACCTCCTCACCATCCGCTTGAGTCAACTCAAGTGCCTCATTCTCTCCCTTGCTACATTCCAACAACCCCCCCTTGCCATCGCCACCCTCTACCCCCCTCGTCTTCTTCCCCTTCTCCTTCCCCTCCTCCTTCTCCTTCGCCTCCTTCAATTGCTCTTTCTCCTTCTCCTTCTCCTTATCCTTATCCTTCTCCTTCTCCTTCTCCTTCTCCCCCTCAGCATCCTCCCGGCCCGAGGCTCCCTCTTTCACAGGTAGTGCCTGCTCCTCCTGTGCCCGCTTCGCCTGCCCCTCTCCATTCGTCTCCTCCTCCGAAACCGCGCCTTTGTGCTCACTTTCATCCTCCTGTTTCTCCTGCATCTTTTCCCCCTCCTCTACCGTTCTACTCACTGCCTTCGCATGCTCTGCATTCCTACTCCTCTCCAGCTCTTTCTGTTCCGCGCCCATCCTCTCCTCACTGCCAGCGCGCACAACACTGACGATCCCACTGGCAGTCAGCAGAGCCTCCCCCGGATGAAGCACAGCAGCAGGCACTGACTTCTCCTCCTCCTTCCCCTCCTCCACCAGCTCACCGCCTGTCCCCTCTTCCTGCTCCTCGCGTGCCCCCTCCTCACTGCCAGCGCGCACAACACTGACGATCCCACTGGCAGTCAGCAGAGCCTCACTTGCAAGCACAGCAACAGAGGCTGAACCGTCAGCCCCACTCGAAACCACCTCAACCACTGCTGGAGGCAGCGGCAGCAGAGGCTGTTCGGAGGACGCTGCGTCGTCAGATACCACCGTCACAGCAGAGGGGTCAACTGTCACCACAACAGCAGCCGGCGGCAGCAGCGTCTGCTGGGACGAATCTGCGTCGTCAGATACCACCGTCACAGCAGGTGTGTAGGCCGGCAGCACAGCAGCAGCCGAACCTGACCCATCAGCCCCACTCGAAACCACCTCAACCACTGGCGGTGGCGGCGGCAGCAGAGGCTGCTGGGACGAATCAGCGTCAACAGATACCACGGTCACAGCAGGTGGATCAACTGGCAGCACAGCAGCAGCGGAGCCTGACTCATCAACCCCACTTGAAACCACCTCCACCACTGCCGGCGGCAGCAGCGTCTGCTGGGACGAATCAGCGTCAACAGATACCACAGTCACAGCAGGTGTGTAGGCCGGTAGCACTGCCAAAGGAGACGGTGCAACGGGCAGAGCAGGGGCAATCGGTCCACGTGCGAGAGCAGGCGCTTCAACACACACGACGGCGTCCAGCGGAAGCGTGTCTTGCGTTGAACCTTTTAGAGCAGGCGGATCAACGCAAACGACAGCATCCAGTGGCAGTGGCTTCTGAGTTGAATCAGGTGCAGGCGCTTCAACACACACGACTGCGTCCAGCGGAAGCGTGTCTTGCATTGAACCTTCTAGAGCAGGCGGCGGTTGTTCAACGCACATGACAGCACCGACTGGCAGTGACTTGTGAATTGAATCAGTAGCTGGCGCTTCAACACACACGACTGCGTCCAGCGGAAGCGGATCTTGCGTTGAACCTTTTAGAGCAGGCGGCGGTTGTTCAGCACACACGACTGCATCGACTGGCAGTGCAATCTGCGTTGAATCACAAACAGGCGGCTCAATGCACACAACAGCATCTGCAGGCAGCGACTTTCCAGTCGACTCGAGAGCAGGCGGCGACTTTCCAGTCGACTCCAGAGCAGGCAGCGACTTTCCAGTCGACTCCAGAGTAGGCAGCGACTTTCCAGTCGACTCCAGAGCAGGCGGCGGTTGTTCAACGCACACGACTGCGTCTACTGGCAGTGTCACACACTGTCCCTGCTGGGGTAATTCTCCTGCAGAGACCAGCTCAACCACGGAAGGAAGCTGCTCCTGCTGCTCCTCCTGGTGCTGCTCCTGCTGCTCCTCCTGGTGCTGCTCCTGCTGCTCCTCCTGGTGCTGCTCCTGCTGCTCCTCCTGGTGCTCCTCCTGCTGCTCCTCCTGCTGCTCCTTCTGGTGCTGCTGGCGCCCTGCGTTCTTCTCAACATTTGCAGATACCACCTCCACCACTGGAGGAAGCTGCTGCTCCTGGTGCTCCTGGTGCCCTGCGTTCTTCTCCTGCTGCTCCTGGTGCTGCTGGTGCCCTGCGTTCTTCTCCTTATCTGCAGATACCACCTCCGCCAACAGCTGTGCCGATTGCTTCTCCGCCTCCTCCTCCTGCTTCTCCTGCTTCTCCTGCTGCTGCTGCTGCGGCTCCTGGTTCCAATGTCTTCCTTGCGCCTGACCCTCCCCTTGCGCGGTACCCGTTTCCGCCTCCGTGATCTTTTCTTGCTCCAGTGCATCACCTCCAAACATACCGTCAGCTTCAATGCAACTGCCCCCTACACGCTCTCCCTTCACAACTCCCTCTTCCCTCATCCCCCCTCTTCCCTTCTCCTTCACTTCCTCCATCTCCTCCGCATCTTCCTTCCCTTCAGCAGAGACCCCCGCTTCCTCCTTCCGCTTCCGAGCACCCACTTCCGCCTTCTCCTTCGCCTCTTCCTCCGCCTCCCCTTCCCCTTCCGCTAAATCTTCCGCCTCCCCTTCCCCTGCCGCGGATACTCCCGCGTCCCCCTTCCCCGCCGCTACTGCAGGCGGAGACGCCGAAATTTCAGCAGACGGAGCGATTGTACGCGTTATTAACTCCTGGTCAACATCTCGAAGAGGTTTGTCCGCGGTAAGAGGAGCGGTGGGGAATGCAAGGGGACCGGACGTCGGACGGGACGAATCGACACCGTCAGATGCGTCAAGGTGCTGACGTGGTGGATCGCTGATGTCCGCAGTGCTAGAATTGATGAATGTTGTCTCTGTAGCGGCCATAATGTCCGCGTTAGAAGCTGACGCTGTACCGCTAGTAGCAGCGGTCGCGGTTGCACGGTCGAGATTCGTTGCTCTCTTTCCATCCACGGCTGTCGACGGAGAAATCGAACCGGCAAGATCCTTTTCGGTCTCTTTATCCTCGTCGAACGTGGCGTCACCGGCCGTACCCGTTATCCGCGACTTCGATACTGTGGACTCTGGCTTACGGGTGTCAGGGTCCCCCTTGGCATTGTCTGCTCGCAGGGCTGGATCTGCGTCATTATCACCCTCCTTAGTATCACTCTCGTTGTTGCCCCGCTCGTTGGTTACGATTCCGTTGTCGTCTGGACGGCTCTTCTCAATCAGACTAGTGACCCTCGGTCTCTTAGCTCCGCCGTTCTCCTGCGCTTCTCCTTCTCGCATTGTTCCGTTCGTTTGAGCTTCACGCCGGTCCGAATCGTCGCAGCTAGGACTCCTCCTCCGTTTCTCTCTGCGTGTATCAATCCCGTCGTTACCGCCGCTCCCGCTTGGATCAACCGAGTCGCTCGTCATAGTATGCGCTTCTGGGCTAGGTATTTCCACGGAGTCTTTATCAGTGTGTGGGGTCGGAGGCAAGTCGGCATCGACAGGTCCACCCATGATATATCACCGACTAAGTTCGGAAGGACCAGCAAAATTTTCTGGCTTCTCTGGCGAGTAATATCTCCGTATATATTTCCACTCCTCAATAGTCACCCGCGATGGATCCTAAATTAGCATATTTTCATGAACTTCCTGGTAGTAACTTGATCAACACCTGGTGCGAGCTACGTGGTAAGCATAGTAGCGAACCGGCAAATAATGTTGTTCTATGAGAGAAGCTAAGCAAGTCATCCGTTAAAATCGGAGACCAAGAAATCACAGCAAGAATAGACTTAGTAGGCATTGCAAGCAAGATAAGATCAGAGGGTACTTGAACCAACCAACTTTCATCCCACATCACCCTCCTACCAGGTCTCGTGAGACCAACAAGGGTTTCTTAGGTTGCTGCTAGGAAACGACAAGTTAGCACAGGATAGCATAGGTTAGCGAAGGTTAGCATACATCATACATAGCCTAATCCACAGGTTAGGCGAAAGGAGAATATCCTACCCCTCATTGTAGGAACCCAATGGTTCGTTGAGCCGCGTTAGTATTTCGTCTTAGTGGTCAAGAAGCTTTCGCACAAGCCTTCGCTCTGCGGGAACAGAGTTTCCCGCGACTTGGCGAAGGCTCGCAAGAGTCGCGAGCCAATTAGAGGCGGAAATACGGCTTTATCGGCATTCCCAAACCTAGTACACATAAGCCGACGCTCACTGTTTATTCGAAACGCCAGCGCGTCTATTACAGTACATTGGTCTTGTCGGGTTCTGGTGACTTCTAGGGGGAATACAGCTAAGCATGGTCGTACATTGAATAGCACAGTCACCCTTTAAAAGGAACTTAAAAACTACTAATCATCTTTACAATTCTTGGAATACCATGACGTACAACTAACAGGAATATTACAGACGCTGAATAATTATTTATAGTTGATAATATATTTTCATATCTCTGAAATAGGAGGTGTTTGCAAGTACAAGTGCTTATCTCTGCAATCTGTTAGATATAGACAAACATTGTAGGTGTAAAGAAACACGAGAACCTAGTGTTCAGATTTGGGGTCGTGTTCGCTTTAGCCAACTGTTGTGTGAAGAATCGAAACGCCTACCTTGTCCACATCGCCATCGATTTTGCTATAGGGATTAAACTCTTAGCTCATACCAACCATACTCAACCGTTGTAATTTGTTAGAAATTCCTTCTGAAACGTAAAGAAAATAGCTAGAACCGCACCATAGTGATGCCACTCTTGACTTCGTAACCTCAGGGAGTTCTGAGAGAATTTGAGTCACCTCTGGCTGCATTGTTCTGTCAGTGTCAGAATGGCCAGGCGAAAGCCAACCCCCTCTCCTCCCGCTCAAGCTTCTCGGATCACAGACTTCATGGCACCTTCCTCGAGCAAAAGAATCAGAACCAGCGATTCCAACCATCAACAAACTGAAGAAAATAGCGTCACGGTGACGCTAGATTCAGCAGCCATGGAAAATACTCCTGAAGATCGTGAGCCTTCAAGGAACGGAGAAGAAACCCAAACGGAAGACAGAAATGTGCCAGATCCCGTCAGTGTCTTGACGAAGTACTTCGGTTATGTCAGGTTAGCGTCGTTAATTTTAGGCAAATGAGGAAATTGAAAACTCGAAGTCAACCGTGCGCTTGCTGTCTTGATGCAGTTTTCGCGGGAATCAGGAAGAAGTTATCAGAGCCGTTTTATCAGGTACTTATCCTGCTTAGTGAGCGTTTCCCGTTGCACAGCTCCGCAAGTTTCTCCACACGCAATAAGGCTCTAGCATGTCGCCGTGAGGCTTCTGAATCTTATTATAACAGAGATTGCTCGGTTTCAGGGTCTGACTGCTTCTGCATGATGCCAACCGGAGGTGGCAAGTCGCTGTGCTACGAAATCCCCGCGCTGATGAAACCGGGTGTCGTCATCGTCGTCTCTCCGCTCATTGGTCAGCAAGCCTCGCGACATACGCTTCATACCATTTCGCTTCGCTTTGTGCCGTTCAAACAGCCGCTTTTCCGTTGAAACAGTCGTTTCGTGCGACTTCTGGTTCCACCGTTTCCTACTAATTGACGTCAATCTCTCTGCACTGCTACTTATTCCTCGCCACTCCTGGAAATACTCGAGTCACTTAGAAGAAATCCGAAGCGTGACTCCAATTTCTCCTCACCACTCCTACATGTTGCAGCATTGATGCAGAATCAAGTGGAATCCCTGAGGAAGAAGAACATTCCGGCGGAATACCTCTCCTCATCCATTTCTGCTGCAAAGCGGACAAATGTAACTGCGAGCAAGCACTTCTCACCATATAATGAACCTGCATGCGTGCTAGTCTCTTTCGTCTCCTTTCCTAACCGCACTGCCATTCTCGTCTGTTCAGATTCTTGCCGATCTGGGAAATGGACGGCCAGCACTGAAGCTGCTGTACGTGACCCCAGAAGCAGTGGACACGCACACTATAATGAGTGTCTTCAGGAAGCTCCACGACAGAGGGCTGCTCAGTCTCTTTGCTGTCGATGAGGTGAGGTTAATAGTTTCGGTAATCCATTATAGAGGCTTTACACGCAAACAACTATGGAGGTCTTCTCAGATTCTTCGCAGTACATGAGGTTAGGTGACTAGTCCGCATCCTGCTCTTGAAGTGCCTCAGAAGATGAATGTGACGTCAGAGGCAGTGGAAGCGCACACCATACTGAGCGAGTGTGTGTTTTTCTTCACATGTGGTTCGGTCGTCCTTGTGCAGGCTCATTGCATTTCGTCATGGGGGCATGATTTCAGGCCTGCATATCGCAGGCTCTCCTCTCTTCGACAATGGTTCGCCAACGTTCCAATCCTAGCTCTCACTGCCACGGCTGTTGCAAAGTAGGTACACGGTACACCCAGACCTTGAAGTTGTCGTCCTTAAAGCAGACCATGACCGAGACCTTGAAGTTTACCTTCCTAAAGCTGACCGTGACCCTCTTAAAGCAGGCCTTGGCCCTCCCTTTTTCCCCTGACACAACACTTCCTTATTTCTTCCCTTGTGACATGAACCTGCTCGTTGCTTGTCTCGATGCCCCGGATGGACACAGCACTTATCCTTTGCTCGATGTGCGAACTGCAGGCAAGTGACCCAAGCTGTTTGCTGGTTGGTGTGTGTGTGTGTGCAGGGTGCGAGAGGACATTGTATCGTCTCTCTGCCTTCGCAACCCCACAACCCTTATCTCCTCCTTCAACAGACCCAACATCTACTATGAAGGTGAGCGTCCATTGATAACTGATCAATGGTAAGAAACACTGTCTGCTTGATTTCATCCATTCATTGCTTTCTCCATGCATGTCAGTGCATGTCCAAAGTCTTCCTCCCTCATGGCGACTGCCTTGCTAATGCATCTACCATGCCTAGCAAGCAACCCCCACCAGTGCGCTACAAGAACCTCATGAATCCGTACAAGGACCTGCATCACACATGGCCTACTTCCTATGCCACCGTGCCCTCCTGCCCAACCCCTCCTTCCCCACCCCGCCCCCCCCGCCCAGTGCGCTACAAGGACCCCATGGATCCGTACAAGGACCTGCGGGTTGTGCTGCCGCTCTCTGTGCAATGCTATCTCCCACCTAACAAGCTGTGCCATGCTGGCACCCTCTGCCTCCTCCCACCTCCCCCACCCAGTGCGCTACAAGGACCTGGTGGACCCTTATAAAGACCTGCGGGACACACTGCTGGCATCGAGGCAGCAGTGCGGCATCATCTACTGCCACTCCCGCAGCAGTGTTCTTCCCCACTCCCTCTTTCTTCCCCCCCTTCTTCCCCCAGTGCGCTATAAGGACCTCATGGACCCTTACAAGGACTTGCGGGATACTTTGCTGGCGTCGAAGCAGCAGTGCGGCATCATCTACTGCCACTCCCGCAGCACCTGTGACGAGCTCGCCTGCTGGCTCACGCGCGACGGACTCCGGTGCAAAGGTGAATAATGCATTGGGTGGGATATGGGGAGGGGGAGGGGGAGTGGGAGGGGGAGGTGGGGGAGGGACACTGCTGCAGCACCTGTGACGAGCTCGCCTGCTGGCTCACACGTGATGGGCTCAGATGCAAAGGTGAGTGCTTCTTTGGGTGGGATAAGGGGAGGAGGGAGGGGGGGGAGGGGGGAGGGGCCACTCCTGCAGCACCTGTGACGAGCTCGCCTGCTGGCTCACACGGGATGGGCTCAGATGCAAAGGTGAGCTGGGAGGAGGGAGGGAAGGACGGGAGGGGAGGGGCGTCGGGTGGGATGGAGGAGGGAAGGAAAGGAGGCGAGGAAGGGGAGGGGGAATAGGTTTCCTGTGTGTGTCCTCGCATTGATCTCTCACACTCTCTGCAGCATACCATGCAGGGCTGTCAGCGGCACAGTTTGCAAGAGAGACTTTTGGAAATCCCTAGAAATCTCTCTCTCGCAGGAAATAATGGTCGGCTGAGGTCGCCCTGTCTTTGCCTGTGTGTGCCCCACATGACCTTTCTCTCCCCTCACTCCCACTGCTCCCTGCAGTGTACCATGCAGGGCTCTCCACATCAGCTCGCACAGAAGCACTGGACGACTGGTGATGTGGGAGGAAGGTCCCCATTATGATCACCTGCCTGTGTGTGACGAGACCGCATTGGCCCCTGCCTGCTCTTTCTGTGTGTGCTCTCCTGCAGTGTACCATGCAGGGCTGTCCACCGCATCTCGCACAGAGGCACTGGATGACTGGTCACGAGGGAAGGTCCCCATTATGATCCCCACTCTCGCTTTCTCTCTGCCTGCGTGTGGCCGCATTGACCCTGCCTGCGCTTTCTGTTTGCTCTCCTTGCAGTGTACCATGCAGGGCTGTCCACCGCAGCGCGCACAGAAGCACTGGACGACTGGTCACGAGGAAAGATCCCCATAATGATTGCCACCGTCGCCTTTGGGTATGTCACATCTCGTTCACATCATTATTGTATCAATCAGGATAACAGCTATTTGTGTATAACAACTATGCTTTTACTGTTATAGCAGTTCCACTCTTGATGGAGTCGCACTTCCGTTCCTCATCTTTCCCTTTCTCGGTCCTGTCTTTCTGCTCTGCCTGCTCTTCTCCGCTGTTTCTTTGCCATGCAGAATGGTAAGCTGGTCCCATGCCTTGTGTCCTGCTCTCCACAACCAAAGACAGCCAACAGCCAGAAAGAGGCTAAGGCTTGACTGTCTCGTAGCAAACTTCTGCTTGGATTGAATTGGACCACCATTGAGCAGACTGCACCTGACTGCACCTGACTACGATGTTTAAGGCGCCTCCAAAAAGGTTTGACTGTCTCGTAGCAAACTTCTGCTTGAATTGGACCGCATTTGAGCAGACTGCACCTGACTGCACCTGACTGCACCTGAGTGGAATTGACGATGTTTAAAGGGATTTGAATGCATGCACCTGACTGCATCCAACCGCACCTGACTGCATCCAACCGCTCATGACTGCATCTGACCGCACCTGACTGCGTCTGACTGCATCTGACTGCACCTGACTGCATATGGCTGGATTTGACGGCATCTGGGTTGGTCACGCTTTCCCGCTTGTGAGTTGATCATTTCGTGGGATCACATTCTGGTGATGTGGGTGAGGTTGGAGTTATAGTGTGTGGAACTCAAACTTGGCTTACCAGGCTATGAAGCATGCAGATTAAGTGGTTAAACTGCTGTCAGTTTCTAACATCCCCCCCATTTGTTTTAGCCGCATCTGTACATCCTTTCCATACCCTCTTCATTCGTAGGCAGGAATCATCAGCCCTTGTTTGAGACTCTTCATGTTCCATTTCCTTCGCTCGTCCCACTACTGCCAGGGCATTGACCGTGGGATAGTGCCACTACTCCCTCCCCAAGTCAATCGAGGCGTTCTACCAGGAGTCAGGGCGAGCAGGCAGCGAGAGACAATAAGCCTTGCTTTGAGGCGCTTTACAAGTCGTCCCCTTCACTCACCACCTCCTCTCTGCAGGGCATTGATCGTGGGATAGTGCGGCTGGTGTGCCACTACTCCCTCCCCAAGTCGATCGAGGCGTTTTATCAGGAGTCAGGGCGAGCAGGCAGGGACCAGCAGCCCTGCCGCAGCATTCTGTATTATGGCGTGCAGGACAGACGAACCATGGTGAGTGGGGTAGGGACCAGGCCAAGCCAGCAGAAACCAAGCCACGCTGGCAGGGACCAGCAGCCCTGCCGCAGCATTTCGTATTACGGCGTGCAGGACAGGCGAACCATGGTGAGTGGGGTAAGGACCAGGCCAAGTCAGCAGAAACCAAGCTACGCTGGCAGGTACCAGCAGCCCTGCCGCAGCATTCTGTATAACGGCGTGCAGGACAGGCGAACCATGGTGAGTGGGGCCATCAGTATTTGAAATCAAACGTTTGTTCTGACGTTTTGATCCAAGCTGAGCTGGCAGAGACCAGCAACCCTCTGTTGCACCCACCTTCGCTCATCCACGAATTCCTCCCCATCCGCCATTCCCCATCCCACATGCCCCATCCCATATTTTTTTACCATCTGCCCTACTCTCTTCGTCTCTCGAGGATTTAATCATCAAGAAGGACGATGGTGCACGGGGTAAAGGCCCTCCATCACCTGTGCAAGTTTTGGGACGTATCATAACCCACTGTCATTCACCATGCGTTCCTCCCCATCCCTCACTCCCCATCACCTATGTTTCAACCATCCGCACCACCCACCGTCTCTCCAGGAGTTCATAATCAAGAAGGACGACGGTGCACGGGGAAAAGGCCCTCCACAACCTCAGCGTGTCAAGAACGCCCTGGATGCCTTTCAAAAGGTTTGCACAAGCAGCCATCTCTTAGGAAGTACTCAGCACCCTGGATTCGAGTGTCACCCTCCAGTGGCTATAATTTTGCGTTTGATGGTTTTTTGTTGGCTGCTTATCTTGGTGTTTTTTTCGGGGGGCTCTACTTGTCTTGGTGTGTGGTTGTCATTTCTCTTTCATTCGATTAATTCATATGGAGCTATTCTCTGCTATCCTCTCGTTTTGCCCGTTTTTGTTTTGCCAAATTTTTCGTCAAATACATCATCAGATGGTCGACTACTTCGATCTCCTGTCATTTTGCCCTATCATTGTTTGCCCTTCCTTTTTTTGCCCTTTCGTCTTTGTCATATAATTCTTATGGTGGACTATTGCGAGCTCCTGCCGTTTTGCCATTGTCATTTTTGCCCTTCCTTCTTTGCCCTTTCTTTCTTGCACCAAATACTTCAGATGGTGGACTATTGCGAGCTCCTGTCATGCCGCCGAATCAAGCTGCTGACGCATTTCGGAGAGACGGTAGGTGCTCTAGGTCCTAGCATTCTATTTCCCTTGGGCGCCTTGAAATTATTAAAACAAAAACAAAAACAAAAACAAAACAAACAAACAAACAAACAAACAAACAAACAAAGATGTCATGTGTCGTACGCGCTAGCGTGTGTCTTTTTCATGTGCTTCAAGAAATATGGTGGAGTGGCTGTGAGTTCTGTAAGCCCAGCTACCACATATCCCAGAATGCCTACTCCGTCTCTCCCCCCAGCCAGGCCACCCCAAGGCTGTGTGCAGGTGGCTGTGACGTGTGCAGTGCACTGCAGGCGGAGCAGGCTGCAGCATGTTCAAGGCGTTCTAAAGGTAGCTTTTCTTCCCTGTGATTCCTCCCCCGTTTCTCCCATCGTCTCTCTTCCACCTTCCCCAGGCCACCCCAAGGCTGTGTGCGGGCGGCTGTGACGTGTGCAAGACCCCACACTCAGTAAAGGCAGCTCTTCAGGAGCTTCAGGAGAATGGTGCTGTGGGGGGCAGCGGCGGTGGCATGCAGCCAAGGGTGCAAATGGGCAGGTGTGTGAAAGGGTTAACAGAGTGAGTTGAGAGGGTGGACAGGCGAACTGTAGTTCTTGTTTATGTGATTTCCTGTGGCTTTAGATCACTTTCTTCTTCATTTCTTGTGCTCATGTGGTGGAGGCCGCCGCTGTCCAGCAAGTTGAAGGATCTGGTGGAGAGTGAGTTCTGGAAGAGGGATGATGAGGGGGACGATGAAGGGACGGAGGACCAACGCACTTTTAATCTCGCACTTCTGTATTGTTATTTCCTTCTTCCTTGCGTGTGTTTAAGTGCAGGCCGCCGCTCTCTTCCAAGTTGAAGGATCTGGTGGAGAGCGAGTTCTGGAAGAGGGATGATGAGGAGGAGGAGCCTGAGGAGAGCATCTCCGGCTCTGATGGTGAGAATATGTGTTGTGCCACAGTGTGTTCGCATGTGCCAATGAGCCATTCTGATGGTGAGAGCATGTGACCATGTGCCATTCTGATGGTGAGAGCATCTGATCAAATGCCATTCTGGCATGTGTCAACACGTATCCTGCATCTGACCATGTGCCATTCTGGCATGTGTACACCAACACGTATCCTGCATCTGACCATGTGCCATTCTGGCATGTGTACACCAACACGTATCCTGCATCTGATCATGTGCCATTCTGGTGGTCATGCTGTTTTCCCTGATGTAAACGCCAGGGGAGGACGAAGCAACGGAGAAGATTGTCCAAGTGGAGAGGAAGATGGGCAAGAGACCCTCGTTTGCCAGCAAAATGGACGCAATGAGCCGGGCTGAGGAGGCGTATAACCGCGAGCATGCAGCGCCGAGAAGCAGGCTGTCTTCTCTGCGACAACAGTTTGTAAGTTGTGTGGAGAGGAGGATGGGCAAGGGACCATCGTTTGCCAGCAAGGTGGACGCAATGAGCCGGGCTGAGGAGGCGTATAACCGCGAGCATGCAGCGCCGAGAAGCAGGCTGTCATCCCTGCGACAACAGTTTGTGAGTCATATGATGCGACGTGTTCACCCGCATGACAATGCTGTCAGATTTTTTTTTTTCTTTTTTTTCTTTGGAGTGCCTTCCCCCATGTTCTTGCCCCTCGTTGAGTGGGTTTGCTGTTCTCCTCCTTGCATGCCCACCTGAATATAATTGTTCTTAACCATTGCTTGCTCGCACTTTTGTTGCCCTGCATGATTTGTTCTCTCCTTGGTTCGTGCAGAAGGTCCCAAGGTTAGCAAGTGGTGTCTCGTCTCCAAATACGGGTTTCACATCTGCAAGATCCGTGATGGCAGCATCTCTTTCTAATCGAGCACCACCTAAAACTCGAAACACCAACACGTCTACGTTGAACGATGCAAACCAAGTTTATCTTCCAAAACAAAAAGCCAAGCTCCAAATCCCTCCTGTACCTCTTTCCCAAGATCCGTAGAAATAAACAATCTGATGATTACGGATGTGCATAGTGTTCAAAAATATTATATTCATTGTGATTAAGATATTGTTTATATTCTTGTCATGGCACAATTAGCAAATGGAGAGCTGTAAGGATAACGAAACAAAACAAAAAGCCAAGCTCCAAATCCCTCCTGTACCTCTTTCCCAAGATCCGTGGAAATAAACAATCTGATGATTACGGATGTGCATAGTGTTCAAAAATGTTATATTCATTGTGATTAAGATATTGTTTATATTCTTGTCATGGCACAATTAGCAAATGGAGAGCTGTAAGGATAACGAATGTAATGATGCGTAGATTGTACACTTATTTCGCCGTCACCTTGAGAGTGTCGAGCTTCATCTTCAAGAGTAAACTTCGAGGCTGCGTGGGAGTTGGGCTGGCTGGCACAGCCGAGGAAGGCCGATCATCCATTCCTTCCCATATCACATGATAGCATTTGCCAGCAGACCCTCGTAAGCCATTGACGCAAACTGGCTTTCCGTATTCAGTCTCGCCGTCATGGAGAAAGGCCTCCCTTGCAGCCCTTGCCAGTGTGGAATTCTAATAACCAGCACTGCGACTGTCTTTTCGTTCTTTGTAATACAGCTGGCCAACCTAGATTTTAAAGGCCATTCATTGTGTCTGCTTCCAGATGGCCTCAAGTCGAAGCATAGCTGCTACGCTCTCATCCCTCCCGAAGGAAACCGCAATGCGAGTGGATTGCAAGGAAACCTGACGGCTAATGTCACAGTTTCAAGAAGAGCGAAAAGGTCTCCTGTGCAGTGGACGGAAACGGCTCATGTGATGATCTACGATGCCATTACAGTGCTTCAGCATCCGCGGTCATGCGATGACGCGAAGCTTATGGTCGTGGAGGCCGACGTTAGCGGTAACAGAAACAACTGTTGCACACTTTATTGTGACAATTCTGGCTGGATACGTCTTAACAAATAAACCCGTGCAGGTCTTATGTGGAACTTCCAGTCTTTCGTCCGCGCATTATCGCTTGGTATGAAGCTCAATCGCACGGTGATTCCAGCTCCTCGAAGGCTCGGAGGACAGCGCTGGGAATATGCGACATTTGATGGCTGTGAAGAGAAGCATCTCGGTTGCTACTTCCCGAATATAACCACTTGCAAGATCCCTGACGACCTCAACACCACTATGTCTTGGAAACCCTGGAATTTCACGTGCAATGGACAGTGCGACATTGACCGTTTGGCCGAAATCTCGAATGAGAGGGTCATATACTTGGAACCGACGAATGGAGTTTATCCTGGATGGGGTGGAGACATTTGGCCATCGCGTTACTGGACGCAAATGAGGAATGATCCGTTTCGTTTCTTACAGAAGTGTGGAAATGCAGAGCTGGCAGGGTTCTTTGCTGGTTCGGGGTCAGCATTCATGCTCCATGCCATAATCAGTCAGTGGCTCTTTCAACCCCGCGATCACATTCTTGACATTGAAAATGACATTTTGAAGCAGTATCCAGGCTGGTCAAGGCCCACCGTGTCTCTCCACATCAGGCGAACGGACAAGGAACAAGAAGGTAAGGGCTTTTCTAAGGTTACGCCACCAAAACTGGTTCTTGCTCTTAACTTGTATTTCACCCTGCAGATCCTTACTGGAGGCTTCATGGTCACCAATACCGAGGATTGAGCAACTACACAAATGCAATTGAGACATCAGCAGCAAATCTGAGCATGCATTGGAACAGCCTCTTCATCATGAGCGACAGTCAGACTGTCGTCAAGAATATGGAGAGCTATGTGGCTACTATTTCAGATGCCCCATTGCTCATGTTTGACAACTTGACTGACAGGACTGTTCTGGAAAGAGTTGGTGGGCATGTGTATGTCCCTGCGGATGAGAAGAAAGGCATCCAAAATCATTTCCTTGCAAGCTTCTCCCTGGCATACAAGATCAGCGACCATGCTATTGGCACGATGTCCTCGAACGTGTTTCGAGTCTTGGTGCAGCTTCTGGGAGCTGAGAGAAAGATGGTACAGACTGAGATGGTTGGCAGGTTGGCCACTTCGTTGGATACTCCTGAAGGATGGGCAGGGTAAACCAGCTGACTTTCTAAAGAAGCAACTTTACTGTATTGAATTTCCCAGATCGCAATGTTCCTTGCCAAATGTTTTGCCATTGGTTAATGTTCTGGCTCTATCAAACGCTTCTCCTCTATTGAAATGTGTATGCGAGGTGATTGATGCAGATAACGAATACTTTTTACTGTCCTATTTTGTTCTTTTAGTACGTGGCATCTAAATCCTACCCAGATATTCTCGAATATAAATGAGTCGTTTTGAAGCTAAAAAACATCTCACTCCACCCCATTCAATTGAACTTGTATGAGCCGCTCCATATAGTGTTATACCGAGGCAAGCAACCTTGTTCTCGAGTCTCGACAAGTTCGAGGAAGAAAATTTATAGCATAACTTGCCTTTTGTTCCAGTAGCAAGCTTGGAAGCTCTGTAGGCTCTGCGCCGAGTCAAAGTTATTTCCTTCCCGCTTATCAACAAGCGTTTTCCGTTGCGAGTCACTGTTCGAAGCAGCCTGGAGACACGCTCGAACTTCCAGCAAACTCGTAGCTTCATCTCGCAAAGTGGTTCGACACTAGGGATCGAGGCCATCACTGAAGGCCGTTAGAGGTCCATTGATTGAGGCCAAATATCAGGTCCAGTAATTGGCGCCATATTATTAAGGCCATTGATCGAGGCCGTTGATCGAAGCCGTTGATCGAAGCCGTTGATCGAGACCATTTATCGAAGCCGTTGATCGAGGCGATGGATCTCGACGAAGACATGATGATGGAAGGCGCGTTACAGGCGTACGAGGCGGACGAAGACGACGCGTTAGAGCTGAGTCCGGGTCATCAGGTCGGCTCACACGAGGTGCAGGACCATAGTAGATACGACGAGCAGCAGCACCTGCAGCAGCAGCAGCAGCAGCAGCAGCAGCAGGAGGAGTTTAGGGAAGAATACATGCACGACGCGAACGGTGCTGATGCTCTTGCGGGAAAAGGATCTGAGAAGGACGCGGGGACGGGTGGTGGGACGGATCGTGTGGGGGGTGGCGCTGAAGCGGCGGCCGACGAGGGAGTTGCGAAGCAGCAGGGGGAGGTTCAGGAGAAACGGGAGACGAAGCGAAAGGTGTACCGCGTTCCGTGCCATGCGAGTGAGTCCGCTGCGACCTTGCATGCTGATTTGTTTGTTATGAAAGTCTATCCTTTTTTTTTTGGTGGAAGGGGGAGGGGAGGAGGGGAGGGATGTGGGGCACGGTCAGTTATGGCGTAGAATGGGTTTGATCCTGAAGATTGCATGCTTCGAATCATGAACCCGCACAGGTTTCGGTTTCTACGACTTTAAACCATGTCAGCTTCGGAAGCTTGTCTCCTCCACCTACTTTCCTCGTTTTTCCCCAATTTATTTGGATTCCTTTGCCGATTCCCACCCCTTTTCTCTCAACCCGTTTGAACCACACAGGCTGGTTTCGATGGGACAAGATCCACCCTTTAGAAAAACGTGGGGTTCCAGAGTTCTTCCTCCCAACACCACCACCACAGCCACCCACTGCCACCATGTTTCCTCCTCCTCCCCCTCCCGCCAAAACACCCACACTTTACAAGGAGTACCGAGA